AACTCAAATGGTAGCAAATGGACCCAATGAAGTTCCCAGATAGTCAAAGTTGCATATTTGTTTTGACCTCTGACCAGACAGTCATATAACCCTTGGTCATCATCAACCCAGACAGAAGCTACTTTGAGGTCAACAAGGTCAACAACCCCCCTCAGTGGCATGCCCTGTACTACACAGGTAACCACTATGAACTTGTTCTGAAGTTCAACCCCAGAGCATAGTACCTCCAACCTCCCCTGTACATACCTTGTAGATAGTTCTTGAAGTTCCCATGGACTTCATCTGAGGTTTTTCATCCCCAGTCACATCCACTGGCTGGGGGTTTTCCTCACAATGAAGTACCTTTTCCCATTGCTCAACATACCTTTGAAACCTACGTTGAGGTACCTTGCAAGGTTCACAACCTCAATGAAGTCCTAGTAGAACAGGCAGTCAACCTGTCTGAAGTAGGATGCAGGTACCTCCTGGAAGGTACGTTGCTCTGCGTAAGGTACCTTGCGTAGGTACGTTGACCGCACTTCAACCTCCAGTGAACGTACGTTCCCACCTTGCTGAACCTCTGCTGAGAGTTGTCACCAGACTTGACCATCTGTCTAGACCCTAGGCTGGTAGTACCTTCTGACCATGCCAATGTACCTTCAACCTCTGCTGAAGGTACCTTTGATACCCCCCTTGAACCTCCGCCATCCTCAGGTCAAGGTACCTTTGANACCATGCCAATGTACCTTCAACCTCTGCTGAAGGTACCTTTGATACCCCCCTTGAACCTCCGCCATCCTCAGGTCAAGGTACCTTTGAGGTACCTACGTCTGAACCAGGAAGCGCTTTGGCTCCGTCAACGCCTGCAAATATGATCCTGTCTCTATGTATACAGCGTCTGTATAGATTCTATTACAGGCATCACCCATTGCAATTGGCATCGGACACCATCGGAGAAAATATATTCTTCCCCGAGAGAATCTTGGCTGACCGCTTTGGAGGGCCGTATCTCCGTCAATGTCTTAAACTTTAAGGCAAACTCAAGTGCATTCTACAGCTCTTGATACGTTCTATAAGTCTCATTAGTACAGATTTGAGGAATGTTTTGACCGGAGGTGGGGACTACCTTTGTNAGTGCATTCTACAGCTCTTGATACGTTCTATAAGTCTCATTAGTACAGATTTGAGGAATGTTTTGACCGGAGGTGGGGACTACCTTTGTAACCCTAACCCTAACCCTAACCCTATGCCGTTTGATTTTGTGCCGGCATTTTCAAATTCAAAACCCCGACACGCGCCCTCAAAATCACACGGTCAAATGTCCCTCTGACTGCTATCTTCGACATCATCGACATTGTCATGTTGTGCCGCTCATTGTGACGCCTGGTTGTCCTGTTTGTGTCGGGAACGATGCTAATGCAACCGGGCTCTCCGGACCTTGCGGGCCTGACGGGGCCCTGCCACACAATGGATCGGCGGGTATGCAAGCGGCGAAGACACCATGACATGCTATTCGAGATTGGCGGGTATATTACGTGATGGTATCAGAAGCGGGCGCGTTTGCGGCTCGTCGCGTTCGGTTTGGCGCCGGCGCCGTTCGAGCTAGCTGAGCTGCTCGAGAGCGGAGCTTTTTGATCGCTGGCCCCGCGCTTGATCCTCGCAATCTCTAGACGTCGTCGCTGTTGCTCCTCGCGCTCGCTGTACTGGCTCGTAGCACTGCTTTGAGGTATCTGGGGCACAGTCGGCGATGGGGACGGATGGTATTTGGCCGTCATGTCAGCAGCAGCCTTCGTGCTGCTGGTTGTCGACACTGGGTGTGATCCTTGCTGTGGCGACGCTGGCTTCTCGTCCAGGGGACTCGGTGCCGTTGCAGGAAGCTGTGAGTCGTCATCGCGTTTGTTGCTGCGAGTGAGCGGCAAGCTTTCGTCTTCCTCGCTGGTGTCCGAGTCGTTAGATTCGCCCGCATTGTCGAGCGAGACCTTCTGCCTTGCCTCTTCGAAGACCGGAGTGCTGGCACGATCTCTAACGCCGTGACTGGTTGGTTCAGCGATGGACTGTGTGAGCGTTCGATCGGCCTCCTCTGTGTCGAAATCAGAGCTGATGACGGGCGGTGATGGTCTTTGGTGCTCGTTGTACTCGGCATGTGCGGATCGAGAAACGCTGTGCAGGCGCTCGGGCGGCTTGAGCCCAGTAGGGCCGAAGAAGATCATGTCGGATAAGTCACCTTTGTCTTCGAGACCCGCGAAAGCTGGAAGCGGCACGAGGAGGTGATCGTCTGCGACAGGTGTCGATGACTGCGCGGTTTGGTCGGACTGGTGAGTGCAGAGTGGGCGGAACGACTTGGCGGCAATGCCTGCGGTCGCTAAGGCGGAGCGCCGCAACAGTTCGAGCGAATCGTTCGAGATCGTTGTAGTCGAATGAGAGGTTTTGTGCTGCTGAATGTGGGCGAGCTGTTGTTGCGAAGCTGAGCGAGCGAGCACTTCGGCGAGGCTGAGCAACGGCCTGATGAACTGAGCAGAGATCATGTTGGACGAAGAGGTATGATCTAGCGGGTCGAGGTCGAAGGAGGTCTTGAGATTCCGAGCAGGGTCCGGCTCAGACTTGACGCTGATCGATAAAGACGATGAAAACCGGGTGGTCTCGATTCCTATGGTGGTCTTGAGGTTGGAGTCGAGCGCCGTGCGGGGATCTAGTGCGTGATGAATGACCGCGACGATCTGAACGAGACGGGCCGCATCGCTGGAGTCTGATGTTGTTGCGCTCGCGAATTCAATCTTGGTGCGCCTATCAAGTGTGCGGAAAGACATTCCCTCGTAGAAAGCGTTGCATGCGTCGCAGTCCAACAGAAGGAAGCCGATCTCTTTGCGCGATGTTGAAAAGGCGAGCTTGTAGAGAAAGTATGCGTCTCTGTCATCCATGGACGACCGAAGCGGGCGGAAAGCATGACTCAGAAGAGTACGATCGAGCTCGTGCGACCATTCGAGAAGATTGACATCGCCGAGATCGCCCTCCGTCATGGTGAAGCTGAGCAAGCGGCGCAGAGGATTGGGGATTGGATGGTCGAGTCCGAATGCATCTGGAGTCTATCGTGGACGCTGAATGTGTGCGGAGGCTTGGCGAAGCATAGCGTCGACAGGCTCGCAGGCTGTATCCGCGACCGCGTAAGCGTGCCAGGACGTTGAAGGTCGTGAACACAGCGGCAGCGAAACGACAAGGCTGAACGCCGTGATCTTTGACGAGGACCCTGAAGCGACAAGGTCGGATCGGCGTTCTTGGTGGGGCAAATGCGTAAGATGTGAGATCGAAGTTTCGCAAGATCGACACGGCGTAAATTTGGGCGTGACGTCCAATTGCGGAAGTGGACTTGCTCGGGCACACGTCGTGCTTTGCGTCATGTCGGAGCATGTCTTGTGAGCCAAGCGAACCTTCTCCGCCCAAACGGGAAGCAGAGCACTCATCGCGGCACTTGATCAGTCTGGTGAGGCGTCACGTCGATCTCGGCAGCGAGGGTCGCGAACGGATCGGCTGCTCTGGACGGATCCAGATCGCGATTCCCCCGCCTAGATCCATCCATCCACGCTGCCTCAGTCCACCCATCCGCCTTGCTTCGCTAAAGTACAGACACAGTCGCGCTACTTGATCGCAAGCTTGCTTCCGTACCATCACCACCTGCGTCGTCGTCGTCGTACATCGTCTCCCCCAGACTGCCGTACCGATCTGCCGACTTCTGCACGAACATTCGCGCTGCAGCATCCCGGAATTCGGAAAGCCAAAACAGGCTGCCCAAAAGTCAGCTCATTCGGTCAACTCGAACGACTCGTGCAGCTGCAAGCCTCTCGTAAGCTGCAGGCATTGATCAACTTGACATTGATCTGATCTTGGCACATCGCACATCGTACGATTCATTGCATCGTCTGTCGCTCTTCGTAGGATTCGCTCAAGATGGTTACTACAAGGTAGGTTCGGCCCGAACGCTGGCCGCCGACTTGATATTTTTAGCATCCAAGCTGACCTTCTCGCGTCGTCTCGTCCCTGTGACCTCGCCTTGCCTTCTATATAGAGCTCAATCAGCGACTCCTCGCAAGTCGAGAGCTAGCGCCTCTACCACCAACTCGCCGGCTCCTGCGACCCCTACACCGGCTCCACGCAACGGCTCGTCGCGCGCTTCACCTACCAAGAAGGCTTCTTCGGGTACTTCCTCCGCCACCTCTTCGCCCGCCCTCCGTCGTCGCAAGTCGTCCGCCATGAGCCAGAAGTCGCTCTCCAAGGAGCAGCTCGGCCCCAAGACCAAGCACTACGAGTTCGCTGGGCCCTTTGGTGCTGCTTTCGTCTCGCTCACCGTCCCCTTCTTCTCGTACTACCTCTACTTTGGCTGTTCCGAGAAGCTCGGCTGCGCTCTCACTCTGCCCGTGCAGAACCCAGATGCACTTCGCTCGCTCTTCGTTCAGGGTGTCAAGGACAGCCTCTTCGACACCACCGCTTGGGCCATCTACGCAGCCTGGTACGCCTTCACCGTGATCACCTGGATCGTGCTTCCCGGCAAGGACTTTGAGGGCACCGAGCTCCGAACTGGCCAGCGTCTGCACTACAAGCTCAACGCTTTCGCTACCTTCCTCGTTGCAATTGGTGCTTCGGTCGGCTTCATCTTCTACAAGGGCCCCGAGGCTTTCACCATCTTCTACCAGCACTGGCCCGGTCTCGTCTCAGCCGCTCTCTTCAACTCGTTCGCTCAGGCTGTCTACTGCTACCTCAGCTCGTTCGGTGACGGCAAGCTGCTTGCTCTCGGCGGCAACTCGGGCAATGTGCTGTACGATTGGTTCATCGGCCGTGAGCTCAACCCCCGTATCGGCAACTTTGACATCAAGTCGTTCAACGAGCTTCGACCGGGCCTCATCCTCTGGGCCATCCTCGACATCAGCTGTGCTTGCCAGCAGTATGTTCAGCTGCGCGGTCGTGTCACGGACAGCATGGTGCTCGTCTGCGCCTTCCACCTCTGGTACGTCGCCGACGCGCTCTTCATGGAGTCGGCTATCTTCTCCACCATGGACATCACCACCGACGGCTTTGGCTTCATGCTGTCCGTCGGCGACTTGGTCTGGGTTCCCTTCGTCTACAGTCTCCAGGCACGTTACCTTGCCTTCCGACCTGTCCACCTCGGCATTGCCGGCACTGCTGCCATCATCGGCGTCAACCTGATCGGCTACTACATCTTCCGCGAGGCCAACTCGGAGAAGAACCAGTTCCGTAACGGCACCAATCCCAAGAACCTCAAGTACATGACCACCTCGTCTGGACGCAAACTGCTGACCTCGGGCTGGTGGGGCCGCTCGCGTCACCCCAACTACCTCGGCGACTGGATCATGGCCTGGGCCTGGTCGCTGCCCTGCGGTTTCGCTACGCCCATCCCCTACTTCTATGTGGCCTACTTTGCCGTCCTGCTCGTGCACCGTCAGCTCAGGGACGACGAGGCGTGCCAGAAGAAGTACGGCAAGGATTGGGACAAGTACTGCAAGCTTGTCCGCAGCCGCATCATTCCCGGCATCTACTAGAGGGGCGGTATCCGGGCGGCGCACTCACAATGTGAACCACTGCCAGCCTCGCACTCGTCCTCTTTGGGGATTGCGGGACTCTTGTCTTGCTTGATCTCGGTTGCTTAGCCTGCGCGGAGTCAGAGTCGTCCCGGCGACCGCACTGTTGCCGTGGTCTTCAAATGGCAGTAGCTCCTGAGGTGCGGCCAGCCTGCTTCGTTTCGCTTGTACTCTACTTTTTGCCTGCTAGCTATGTATATGAGGAATGCTTCTTCCGTGCTTGGTAATGGGACCAGATAGCCGATAGGAGCAAGCAAGCGTGTACGAACATCTGAACAAAGCGGCGGGTTCAACTCGCCTGATTTTTGCTTGCTTGTTAGATCGAGGAGTCTGCCGAACTAGGGCGCGTCTGTCACCGATACCGAGGCCCGATGGGATTTGAGGCGTGCACGGGCTGAGTCCAACATCACGCTCGAAGAAAGGGTGTTGGAGTGCGCTTCTTCTTGGCTGCACGTCTCGCTTTAGCATCCCTCGACCTGACCACTCACCGCTCCTTGCATCGTTATCCATTCGTCACTTCACGCGCCATGCTGAGCTGTCAACGCATTGCAGCAGTGGTCCTGGTGGCGCTGGTCGCCTTGACCTCGACAGCGATTGCCGATCAAGACTTCCGTGGCCAGATCCAACCCAACGAGGAGCTCGCCCAGTTGATGAACCTGGGGCCCAACACACGCGTCCTACTCCACGCCATCCCGCCTGAATCCGCTGCGACTACAACTGATAGCCGAGACAAGGTTGTCGCCGACTCGATCGCCACAGAGACCAAGCAGTCGCTCGACCTGTCTGCGTTCGGCCAGCACCGCGATCGATCGACATTGGTCGCCATTGACGGCAGCTTCATCTTCCGTGACCTGCAACAGGGTGCTTACACGCTCGAGCTTGTATCGCGGACGCACAGCTTCCAGAAGTACCGCATCGATATTCTTGACCCAGCGCTTGGCAAGGCGCCTCAGATTCGCATCTTCACACCGTAAGTTGTCCCGCTCCGAGTTGACTGTAATGTAACATCAAGGCTTGTACCCTAACAAGCTTCTCTCTCTCTCTCTTCTTTGCTGGTGCTTTTCCATAGTGGCACGTCCCTCGTCTCGATTCGCTCGTCGAACTTGATCTTCCACCCGCTCATTCTCCACGCGGTCAAGCGCGTCGACTACTACACCGAGGCAGCACCTCTGACCATCAGCTCGCTCCTCGGCATGGGTGGACCCATGATGCTCCTCCCTCTCGCTGCCATGGGCATGATCTTCATCCTCCCCAAGCTCACCGCCTCGCTCGACCCGGAAGCGCAAAAGGAGCTCGCCGAGTCGCAGAAGCGCATGCAGAAGCGCATGGCTGCTGTTCAGTCCGGTGACATGTCCGGGCTGCTCTCGGGCGACGAGAAGAAGGGTCAGGACAAGAACAGCAATTCAGCACGCGCACAGCGCAAATGATCATCCGGAACATCGCATTGGCTTCGTCTACAATCTACGCCATTGGCATCTGCATCCCACCTCTGCCAGCGTCTGGCTGCGACGGCTGTAGCGAGCTGACGAGCTGTTGAGATTCCGTATTGCCCGCCAGCAGGTATCGCAGCGCAAAGATGGCGTGCTCTCGCATGTCTGTGGGATCGTAAAGTCGGACTGAGGGTCAGCATGCTACACAACGGCAGATACGAGGCGGTTCGATACTCACATGGATTTCGCTCGTCGAGCACCGTCATGTTGAGAACGTGGAAGAGGCCGCCGCGCTCTCGTATCCGGTCTTGCACCTGGCGGATCTGCTTCCTGGTGAACGCAAGATGACTTGTCTCAGAAGCACCGTCATTCGACGATACATTCTCTGCGCTTGACGGCACTGAGGTGGTGCCGACGCCCTGTGTCGGCGCATACACCAGCGAGCCGAGAACGCGTACAATGTCGCGCTTGAGGTGGTCAAAGCCATAGCTGGGTTGCGTTTCTTTCCCCTCGTGAGCAGCTTTGCCGGTGGAAGACAGCGCATGGCCCTCAGGTAGCGGCGTGTTGGCGTGGCTCGACTCGGTTGGACCTTGCGGTGAGGCGTCGGCGGGACGGAATGGCGACAGTGCTGGAGCGTACTGGTGCGTCTGATCAAGAAGAGCGACCAGCTCGTCTACGAAATATTCATCCTCCCGCAAGTCGGACAAGAGCGCCCGCGAGAGAGTGGCGAAGCTGTGCGGTCGCTGCCAAAAGATATGGTCGCTGGGTCGACGCTCGTCGCTCCATCCGTCCGCCGTCATGCTCATCGAGAGCAAGCACTGTAGGAGCAACAGCAGCCCATGGTGGACACCAATGAGCCGCCTGTCTTGTGGCTGTTGATCCGCTGATTGGCCGTCTTTGGCGATCCCTCCAGCCATGGCACTGCGAGCAAACCTGGACAAATCCAAGAAGACGTCGACCAGTCCTACGAGGCCAGCCCCGCTCAATTGGTCCTCCGAGTTCGTCTGTCCCTCGGCGACTTGTTTCTGCTGGAGGTGAAGCCAGCTGTCGAGCAACTTGAGCAGAGTGAGCTGCGCGCTGGAGATGATGGGCAGATCAGAGTGCGATGCAATAGACGATGACGAGATTTCTTCAATGGGCTCGAGTGCGGATAAGAGCTTTGATGCATGGCCTCGTTCGAACAGGATGGCAAAGATGGTGTAGATGAAGCCGAGCGACTCTTCCAGACCCGGAATCTCCGACTCGGGCTCGTACTCCGCACTCGCCTCGTCTTGCGATGCTGACGCTGTGCGAATCATGATGCTCTCCGAGGTACTGAGCAGCGATTGAATGAGTCGTAGACCGGATGCAGATGTACAGAAGTCGCGACAGCGTTCGTTAGCATCCTCTGTCCAGGCTGGCGTTCGCAGGAAGTTGATGAGCAGGATCTGCGCGGCACTTTGCGTGCCTGTATCGGGAGAGGAAAGGAGCTTGAGGACCAGTGCATCCTGCTTGCCGTCAGGAACGACTATGCGTGGCCAAATTTGATGCTGAACACCCTGGTTTGCGGTGACGAGGTTGGAGAGCATCTGGGCTGCTGATCGAGCGAGAAGCGTCGCATCCGGGTCGTTCAGCGTATGGAAGCGGGTGATGTTGTCGAGGAAGGGCGAAACGAGGTCGAAGTGTTGACACAACAGCTCTTGCGCGTCCGAACATGCTGCCGTGGCATTACGCAGGATCCTCATGCATAGTGTAGCGATCTGGCAGGTGCGTCTGTATGGATCTCGATGTTGCTCGTTTGCGTCGGCCGTCTTTCCTGTGCTTTGCTGTTCGAGGTCGTCTGAAGGCGGTCGTGCATTTTGGCATCGCTCATGTACGTCAAAGAACGAGCTGAGACAGCGCAGTAGAGATGAGAGGGACCCGGACGTTGCGAAAAGTTGTCGACTGGGCGCATCGCGGGCCAATTGTTGGCTCAACAGAGTAAGGTGTGCTTCTAACCGGTCGTATGCCACGACCTCGCCTGCTGCAATGTCGGCCAGGGCTGATGCGCCCGTCACCGCCCTCGCGTACTCGTCGAAGAGGCGGACCAGTGCATCGCAATTTGCCACATCTATGGTCGCCTCGGACGACTGCAGCATCGTCGTTGGTCGATGATGTTGGAGCTCGAAGGTGCAAAGCAAGCCGGGCTCGTCAGGGTCTCGAAGCCAGTTTCGAGCAAAGTGGAGCAAAGCATCCAAAGTTGCAACGGAAGTCGGAAAAGAATTTTAGGCGCCGTCAATCTGTTAGACTCTTAAGTCGAGTCTCTGCTTGTCAGCTTCCATGAAAGAGGCTTTCTTGCTTCGATTCCGCATCTGCGCTGACGATGGCGAAGACTCTCAAGCAAGCGCACAAGAAACGACGAAGGATGATGTGAAAGGCAAAGGAACTCTATATTGAGACGGTGACATGTATGCTAGAATGTGACAAAGACCATCGAAAGCGAGAGAACGAAGCCAGCGAATCTCGATCTCGATCAACAAGACAGAGGAGGCCTCGAAATGTCGCTGCGATGGACGATGAACCCGGTGAAAGAAAGATGCAAAGCTAATGAAGAAGAAAAGTATGTGGAGGGATCGCGAGATCCACTAGCTGGCGGAAACGAAGCGAAGCGCTTAGCACTTGCCGTTCTTGCAGTAACCCGACGACTGGGTGATGAAGGTGGGGTCCTGCTGACCGCCGTAGTTGGTAGCCTTCTCGGTACCGGAGCAGGCCTTGTAGAGGGCGCAAGTGAGGTTGCCGGGAGTGTACTTGGACTGAGCCGAAGCGGGGAGCTCAGAGACATCCGAGGGCGAGGAAGCGTTGTCCTGGTAGAGGTTGACGAAGAAGCAGCCGTCGGTGGCGTCGCAAGCGGCGAGGCACTTGTCAACCGAGTCGACAAGAAGGTAGGTCATGTAGTTGGCGTTGTCAATCGTAGCCGCGCCAACGGTCTGGCCCTGGTAGACACCCGAGTCAGCAACGGTCTGGTAGTTGCTGAAGGTCTGCTGGTACTTGGAGGTGCAGACGGTGCCGTCACCGCCAGTGCTGCCGCCAGTGCTGCCGCCAGTGCTGCCACCGGTGCCGGAGCCCGAGCCAGATCCAGAGCCACCGTCAGAGCCAGAGCCCGAGCCAGAACCAGAGCCGGTACCAGAACCAGAGCCAGAGCCGCCGTCAGAGCCGGAGCCAGAGCCAGAGCCAGAGCCAGAGCCAGAGCCAGAGCCAGAGCCAGAGCCGCCGTCAGAGCCCGAGCCAGAGCCCGAACCAGAGCCGGAGCCGGTACCAGAACCCGAGCCAGAGCCGCCGTCAGAGCCAGAGCCCGAACCAGAGCCAGAGCCCGAACCAGAGCCCGAGCCCGAACCAGAGCCAGAGCCCGAACCAGAGCCAGAACCCGAACCAGAGCCAGAGCCCGAACCAGAGCCGCTACCGCCAGTGTTGCCACCAGGGCCGGGAGCAGGGCCGTTGTTGCCACCAGGGCCAGGAGCAGGACCGTTGTTGCCACCAGGGCCAGGAGCAGGACCGTTGTTGCCGCCAGGGCCGGGCTTGGGGCCGTTGCCGCCAGGGTTGGGCTTGGGCTGGTTGCCCTTCTGGCAGAAGGGAGTCCACCAGTTCCAGAAGTAGGCGCACTTGGCCTTGTCACCGCCGTTCCACTTGGGGATACCGGGAGCACCACAGCCGTACGAGGACGAAGGGAGCGAAGCCTTGTTCCAGGGGGCAACGGGGGCCCAGGCGGAGGTCTTCTTGTTGAAGGAGGGGAGAGAGTTGAGCTGCAGCTTGCAGCAGTTGGTGTTCCACGTGCGGGCCTCCAGGGCCTCCAGCTGCTCGACCGGCGAGGCAGTGGCGTAGGTAGCGGCGCCGATGGCGGCAACGATAGCGATGTTCTGGATCTGGACCATTTTGAAGATCGTTGAAGAAGAGAGAGAAGAGAAGAAGTCTAGGGAGGGGTCCGGAAGAGAGAAGAGGAGAAGAGGCGAGGAAGAGAAGGCTTGGTTTGTTGGATGAAGAAAGGGGATGGAGGAGGACGAAGAATGCTCGGATTATATAGACGAGAGACGGGTCTGACGTTCGTATCGTAGACAGGGAAGTTCTGCTATGGAGCAATGCTGCCCAGCTAGGCAGGGGCGGTGGGTGAGACAGATCCTCTGCAACGGAACAGGCGCAAACGCCAGAGTCTTCGTGGGTGCAAAAAGTTCCAGCAGCACTCGACCATACAGAACCCCTCGGTCCGCGTCCTTGGAGCGGGCTCAAGTCTGGACTCTAGCAGAATTAGGTTTTCCAAGAAGCAGAGTATCGCCGTAGGGTTACTGCACGAACTGGAGTCGGTACCTAGGCGACGGTCACCGAGTGTCTCAGAGCGATCCCGTCAGCAGTCCAGGGCTCGTGCACCTTAGCGGCCACGGGGGAGGACGCCAACGATCCAGTACCACTACAAAGCGCAGTGGTTCCTGAATTTGCCGCTAGGGCTGATGATCGATTTGTGCGGCAAGCCAAGCACGGCGGGGTCTCGAATGAGGGCGCAGGTTTGGATGTCGGCTGATGCTGCAGCTGACGAACAATTGCCGTTGAGGTTGACCGGATATTCGGCATGCAATCTCAGTGAGACATCGAAGAGGACGCGAGCTTGCAGGGTCGAGATGTCACGGCGAATCATGCCACGCTGCAGGAGACTGAATCGAAGTGCGGACCGATCGAGGTCCAGCTTGAGTTCCCAAGGAATGAAAGGGCGTAGATTCGATTACTTTGTCTCTCCGCTGTCCCTTTGTACCGCCGTTTGTCAAGCGACAAACAGCTCTGTCTTTTGCAGCTAGGCGCTCGTACTCGTCCCCAAGAGCCCATCGGGATTTCTGTATCGTCTTGCCGCGAGCCTGGAACTAATTGGACGACTTGGCGCCAGGCGTATGAACTTCAGCCCACGGACAGCTCGGCCTCGTTCCAGACCTGGTCTGCAGACGTTCGGCCGCCTTTGACCCGTCTGCACCGACGAGGGTCCCTTTTTGTGAGTTCTCCGACATCGCCAGGCTCGGTCATCTAGGTCAAGATCTTGCCGTCTGTGCGGAACAGCGCTTTCGGCCTCCGACGAATGCAAGCTCCATGGCTGGAATCGAGCTCAAACGAACTGCCTGTCGAGCCGATTCCATGGTCAGTAAAAGCACAAAGGGGTTCAATGCCAATGCTAAGGTCTTGTGTCATCAGGCTTCCCAACAATGGGGGTCTGGGGAGTCTCAGTCATTGTTTTTTCGTGTCGCGTGCCTGTCTCATAGTAAGAATAAGAGTGGTCAGCGTGGGCGATGCTGGCGCAGGGGTGAAACAAGGGCCATCACGCTCGGTGAGATGGGGTCCGAGACATGCTCGGTGACAGGCTCTGGGGGTCGAGGTGGCTTTGTTTGTACACGCATGTTTGTCTCGAACAGAACCTCGGCAGCGGGCAAGAAGGTTTTGGAATGGCCGACACATACGGGCCGTAGAAGCATCGGAACTTGGACGGTGTAGAGGGAACCTGAGACATCCGACGGCCACCGGCAAACGCTTCGCTGGGCGAGCCCAGAAGCATAGCCGTCTGGCCTTCTGTCGATCCTGTCAGGGCTACGGAAGAAAGGGCACGTTCGATCGACTCTGACGTCTGAGACACTTTTGATTGACCGACTCAGGCGCTTGGCAGCGGAATCGGCGCTACCTGAGACACTCTGACATTTCGCTTGACGCGTCAGAAAAAGTGCGTCGATAATCCTTGTTCTTTGAGACATTTTGCGCTCAACAGGCACCAGACCGTCGATCCAGGCCAGGTGCTGGCGGGGCTGAGCAAACAATGAAATTCAATGCAATTGATCAAACCCAGAAATGCCCTCGGAAGACGGTCGACTGGCTGTTTCACATTGACACGAGTCAGGCGGGGTCGTAGGGAATGTTTGTTCGCTCGGCTCATGGCTCCGGAACCCTGGCGAGTCGTTTGTGGTCTTGGGCGGGGTCTCGGCTTCGTGGGCGTACATGGCTCGATGCTGTCAAGGATCGACACCTCACCGAGCAGAGATGAGCGACGACCAGACCATGGCGTTTGTTTGCACTAGATTACCGGGCCTTTTTTGCGACCTGATTAAATCTTGACTTTTTGGCGGAAAAGATCGCACGATACAGTAGTTGCAAGTCTTCGAACAATAGCCAACCGTGGTGACCACGCTACGATGATGTCGACTGTTTCAAACGGCTCTATTGTATAGCACAAGCTCTCGATCTGCCGTCGTGATCGCTACGCAGACCTTCGAGAAGCCTTCACTAGGATGCGGATCGACCAGTCGTAGGTTGAACTACTGTGAGAAGATCGCGTGACCACGATTTGACTGAAGGCTGCGATGTGCCTCGTTTCCGAGAGCAAATGCGCCAGAGCAGGCCGAAGAGAAGCTTTGCGTGGACAACGGAAGATGCTGGTTTGTCTAGCTCTGAAATCGTATCCGCGAGCACAGACACACGAGCGGGCTCACAAACAAGGAGATGTTTGAAATGGTGACTGATGTTATGCAATTGAGACCCATCTAAAGTGCAAAGTCCTCGCCACGGCATCGAAGAGTTGTTCTCCGGAGGCGATGTGGACACGATTATTGATACATATGAGGTGATAAGCTGAAGTTCCTTAGAAAGAGAATCGGAGGAGCGCAGGGTTAAGTGCGATGGGATAGAGGATGTGCAGCATAGAAATGAGGAGTAGAGGCCAGTAGATGAAGAATCCTTCGATCTGCCATTGCAGAGGAATGACTCCAGGCAGCTGGAAGACGATCACAGCTGCAATGGCGGCAACGGCGATGAGGAAGACCTTCCAGAACCTCTTGAGGATGAGAGGAACCTCGACGAAGAAGTTGCTGTCCTCGAGATCCTTGATCGTGGCGCCCCAGGTCATGTTGACACCCACGATGTGGGCACCGAGAGCGGCAGCGACGTGGTACGAGAGACCGCCGAAGAAGATGAACATGCTCGGGAACCAGACGGCGTGCGCCTTGATCAAGTTCCAGAGACCGTCCGTCTGGGCGCGGTATCGGGCGATGACCTGCGCCACGTTGCCGCCGATACTGAAGACGAACACGACGGCGACCCAGATGTTGAACGGAGGCAGGAAGGTGGGCAGCAGCACCGGGTAGAACCAACCCTGGACGAGGTAGAGAGCGATGGAGAGCGGAAGAGCGCAGGCGATGGCGTAGTACGAGAAGATGTACGAGCATGCCGAGAACTTGTAGTGAAGCGGGGCGTCGCTCCACAGGAAGGTTCGGAAGAGCTTGGAGAAGGGACCCTTGTACGGCCACTGCCAGATGCGGTTGAAGACCAGCTCGGAGCAGCCGAACGCGTACTTCTGCCATCGGTTGAGCTCGTCATCGCAGGTGAGCGAGACACCCTCCTCGAACTCGTTGTTCGAGTAGGTAGCCCATCGGACAACGTATCCCTTCATGAGCAGACGCAGAGCCATGTCGAAGTCTTCGGACACGTGCGACTCGGACCAGACCTTGCGGACACCATCCTCCTCATCGACAAAGGCGGCCTCCTGCATCGCAGACCATCGCAGGAAGGCGTTGTGTCCCATGAAGGGGGCGACGTCACCAGCGGCGACCGTGTACGAGATGGAGAAGTTGACAAGGCGAGTGAAGAAGGCAATGGCGCGCTCAAAGTAGCTGTTGGTAACGAGCATGACACCGGAGCAGTGCTGCAGGACACCGACGTCGGGGCACTGGACCATCTCGGAAGCAGCATCGAGGAGGCAGTCCTCGGGCACACGAGTGTCCGAGTCGATGAGGAGGACCAGGTCGCCGATACGCACGTTGCCCTTGGCCTGAGCCAGAGCGTGAAGCTTGGGAAGGCAGTCTTGCAGGCAGTGCTCGTAGAGCTCGGTCTCATCAGCTTCCGTCCACAGAGCAAGCGGCTCAGCCTCCTGAGGACGGTATTCGGACATCATCTTCTCGACGGCGAGGGACAGCTGGCAGGTGAAGTTGAGGTTCGAGGCCTTCTTGAAGCGACCCTTTCGCACGTAGCCATCGGTGCCGTGCGCGGGACGGCCGACCCAGCCGATGTTGTTCTTCTCGTAGTAGTCCTGGCGGATGGCCTGCTGCTCAGCAGAGACGAGCTGCATTCCATCTTCCGAGATGATGATGGATGCGGTGCCGCCCTGCAGCTCGTAGGTGCTGATCGCCTTCTTGACCGACTCGATGGTGGGCATCAGCACTCCCTCGAGAGACTCCTTGTACACGGGCATCTGGATCGTGATGTGAGGCAGGGCTCCCGTGATGCGAGTGGGCGCCTTGCCCGAAAAGTACTGAGAGTTGGTGTGGAGCTGGCGAATGGGACCGAGAATCTGGAAGACGATGCCAATGACGTTGTCGCAGAAGAACATGATGACGGGGAACATTACCAAGGTAACTGCTGCGAGCGCCATGCGAACCCACTGACCGTCAATGAGCGAGTACTGGAAAAGGCTCGAGATGAAGAGGAAGCACAGCACCACATCGAGACCGACGGCCAGACCGTGCTGGAGAGCGGCTTGGTAGAAGACCGGCCTCTCTTCGGTGCCCGGCTGGTCCTGCTTCTCGGGATCGCTGGAGGCGTTGTTCGCCCATTCGGGACTCTGAGGAGAGTTGGAGCCCGGCGAGCCGGCGAAAGGGTTCGAAGGTGTCCTCGAGTGACCTTCCGATGGGGTGTTGTGACCGTTGCTCGAAAGCGTGCGGAAGTGAGCTTGGTTGCGGTTGAATCGGCTCATGGCAGCGTCCGTGGCGTTGGGAGTGGAGGCCGCCGAGGTCAAGTTGCTTGTGTTGTTCTTGAAGGAACTGGTCCAGACGAACTTGATCATGCCCTCCTCGAGCTCTTGCGCGCGAGCTTCGAGCTGCTCGACGCGGTCGCTCCAGACGACGACGGTGTTCTCGCGGCGGATGAAGCAGGCGTTTTGCGCCTTTCTCGCACCGGCGAGCTGCTCCATGGTGTCGACCACCTGAATGTGTTGGGAAGCAGTGATAGGAATCTGCTCGGTACCGGGAGCCAGACGGGTGTTGATGGCAGAGACGACGGGAGAAGTGATGGTCATGGCGGCCTCGCAGTTGAGGATGGCAACTGCGCGGCAGAAGTTCCCGAGCCTCTCGTCTTGTGCGGGGCAGACCACGTATTGGCCTTTGGAGAATCGAATCGCCACACCGCTTGGCACCTCAGGGTCTTCGGAGAAGAAGCTGCGGCGGGTGCACGTTTTCCAGAGATGAGCAGCCATGACCTGGTAGCCATCGCGAGCATCGATCCAGTTCTCGTCTGCGGCACTCTTTTCGAGGTACTCGGAGTTGATAGACTGGGCATACTCGCGCTGCTGCATCATCTGTGGGAGAAAGTCGTTCGGCGTTGACGCGGCGTCCTTAGCAGGAAGCTGCTCGTTCTTCTTGCGAAGGAACCCGAGCATTGTGAATATGAGCTTTCGAGGCCGAGGGGAAGGGGGATGACGTTGAGGAGCTAGGGTATCGCTTGTCCAGCAAGGCAATGTGCGAGAGTGGCAGAGGCAAGGTCGAGAATGCGGGACGGGAAGCGAAGGGCAGAGCAGGGGCGGGATGAGGAGCGACTTTGACGAGGATGGGTGGGAGGGATGGCACAGCGAGAGATACTTGCCTTTAATATCTCGGAAGGCAACGACGTACGGGCGATTTGGAAGTGCTACAGGGGTGCACTCTGTGTAGCGGTCTTTGTTGGCGGAGTCTAGTCTCACTTTGGCTCAGAGCGGCCCGCGATGGCAGAGAGCGTGGACAGCCTACGGCCGATCGATTGACCGACAGAGCAAGGGCAAATACATGAGCAGTGCGAGCCTGCTTGTCGGCACGCTCCTTGTCTCGGTGAGTGAGAGAGTAAGCGCTAAAGCGAGAGGGCACTAGGGCTGATGTGGGCATGTGCATTGCCGCAAAGGCCGCTCTCATCGAGCATACGATTCTGGCAGGGGCCATGGTTCGCTGAAGAGCCAAGAAAGCTCTTTGCTTTTGTTTGCAAGGCACGAGGGCTCGACTTGTCTCTGTCATGGTCGAGGGCGCATGGTTTGTACCATTGTCGAAGGAGGTCTTTGTTGGCGACGGCGATACCATCCAAGTTTCACATTGCACCTGGAGTCAGTCTCGGGTTTTCCTTAGACCGTTTTTAAAAAAAAAATCTTAAGTTTTTAAGTTTGCCTGTGATCTGGACCTTTATTTATTTTTTTGACAAATCTTCTTTTCTTTGATTCCGAGCTTTGAAAGGTCCATCAGTCGACGACGTCGGACACCGGTGAGACTGTGAGAGTCAAGACGTTGATCGACTGCCAGACTGTCGGGCAAGTAAGTACGTTTTTGGTGCCCTTTTCACCCCTCTGAAGCCTGAGAGACCTGTAACAGCAGACACGAACCCCAGTTCAGAGCAGTATGACTCTGAGGTCACGGCAAAGAACAAGACATCAGCCTTCGCTTATCGACGAGCGTCCAGGGCGGCATACTTGCTTCGTCCTCGAGTGGTGAAAGATCGGCTCAAATCGTAATCCAAAGGACGGAGGGCACGTGAGTGATAGAGAGCTTGCATCGACGAAGGTCAGCGGGATTTGGACAGCAATGCCCGAGACATCGAGCCGCCCTTCGAGGCGATGAGTGTTCAAGTATGATCAGATCAGCTTGCGGGAGCTGCTCAGATTTGCCATCTTTGCAAGGGCTGCTAGCGTATAGCGAGGTGACAGGGTTCACGCTCTCCTACACTCGGATCAGCATGCTGCTCGGCGGCACAGCGGAAGCGGCAGTACCCTTGATTTAGGCGAGTGTCTCGATCGCTCTGGTCTGGATCGCAGCGAGCGCTGAAGGCGCATGTCTCGTTGCGTCCGTCAAGGTCGGCTTCTGGACGAGACAGACAGACTGCGAAGCTTTAGATCACGTCTTGTCGAGCAAAACATCGATCATAAGCTGATCTGGCCCTCTTCAAGGGCGAGATCGCGGCGACCCCGCAGAGCTAGGGGATAGTCACTGCGATCGTAGGCAGAGCAAGATTGCGAGAAGGACCAAGTCCTGAGGAAAGCAGCAAAGCAAATGAAAGACCGAGCCTGCGCTACTGGAGCGCTGAGGGCGTCCAAGGATGTTGATGCCCGCTGCGACGCCAGGTTGCTTGACAGCTGTGGCGGAATAGAGCGTCCGCGACTTCCTGACGAGAAGGAATGCAGAAACCCAGAAGAATCGCGCGCATCTTAGACAGACGCAAATGTTTGACACGGGTGCGACACTCAGCAAACAAATCAACGCCGACTTTTGTTTATCCTTTTTTTTTGAAACAACAAAGCATTGTCCGCTGCAGGTCCAGACAGCCTCAGACATTTCCCAGGCGCAGCAGTCGAGCAAATGCTAGTCGCTCTCGCGCCGCACCAATGATGCACGCCCGTCGGGTCATCGACGGTTCTCTGCAAAGAATAGGCGCAGCGCAGTTGGCCGGCGACAATGACAAGTCTGGATTCGCTCCACCGTACCTGATCCAGCTGGACCCGCCTGCGCTCCGTTCCTTCGGAAGACTACGATCGACAGCCATTCAGAGCCTCACGGCACATTCCTTATGATCGTAGTCGTTTCGCTACTATCAAACGAATGCTCGAGGCTCGCGTCGCGCCGTGTAGCCACGGACGCGAATGCACCAAGCAGATCCGAACCTAGCGCAGAGCGGCTCCTGTCCGGGTCAAGATTCTTCCGTTGACAGGTTGAGGAGGGAAAGTGGCGTCTGTTGGCTTCTAGGAGGATGTCTCGCGAGGCGATTTACTGCTGCTGGTGTGTGGCTCCCGTAGGCCGATAGGAAGGGTCAATCGAGGATAGAGCTCGCCTCAAGGTGAGACACTGCGCACGATTCGACGCGTCCAAGCATGTCTCAGAGGCTGCGGGTCGACGACCGAAAAGGCCGGCTGCTTGGCGTGACGGCGCGCGAGACATGCAAACAAAATGTCGAAAGGCGTGGCGATGAAACCCTGCTATTGTTGGTCTTGGCCGATGAAACTGGCGACTGTTTGCAAAGTTGCTCCTCAGCGTCAGGTTGTGCAGCAAGCATGATGGGTTCACACCGGGCCAGGATGGAACCCTTCTCCGCAGTTTCAGAAGCTCAGCTCCGATACGAGCCATGACTGGATCGGGAACCCGCGAGTCCTTTTGCACAAAGGGACCAAGTGCCTGCGGACGCAGTCGTCACCTCAGATTGCAGAGTGCATGCGTGCGCTGTCGGAAGGATGGCTCCATTGATCTGAGCGCGCGTACCTTTTCTCGTTCGCTCCCACGCTCGCTGCGATTAGCTGACTTGGCGCGCGTGCAGCCGACGTATCAGAGGGGTCATATCGATGAGCGAAAGGGTAGGCAGTCTTAGCCTGCGGAAGCGGAAGCGACTGGTCAATTGCAAATACCATGCTAAGAAGAGGCGGCATGCGCCAAGCGTTGTGGCTGCCGATACCCTGCCGTCAGCTCAGCTCATTAGGCGGGTGCATGGGCCACAAAGGGAAGAACGGAGATCGTGGCTAGTGCAAAGGGTCCTCGATATCAGGTCGATCATCGCCATCGAGCCACAGACGGACGGTCAGGACCAAGTCCTGTTCAGCGTCGTTCCTCTGCCGTCACCACCGTCGGCAAATTCGAGGCGAGACTGCCTCTGCCGGCTTAGCGAAGCTTCCGGTTTCGAATTTCATTCTCCAGAAAGCGACTTCAAAAAAGATGAAACACCACCGCTTCAACTCAAAATGTATTGCATTTTTGTAATGGAAATGCACATCCGCAGATCCGCAGGCAGGCGAATGAGAAGAGTCGGAAGCTTTCGCACAGTATTTGAGTCGAAGGGCCGGACTGAAATGGCGTCTTCGCCTTGCTTTGCGCTGAAGCGTCGGGTTTATGTTCTGACAGTCTTCAGTCATGACAGACTGGACTCACGACAGCGAGATCGACTCCTAGAATCGCTTCAATCGCAGAGCAAAGTGAGAGCGTAAGCTATTCAAACCCACGTGGGAGGCGTCAGCTTGGGGCCATGTCTCTTACACCGGCCTAACATCTCGTCATTCGCGTCGCAGCTTGACCGGAACTTGTATTCCGTAGGAATGAGCTGGCAGAGTCAAAAGACATGACGGCCCAGGGCAGGCTTGTCTTGGTGAACAGATATCAGCAAGAAGGACACGCGCGAGCCCGTGTCTCGCTGAGATCGGCCAGAGAATCGGACCGGTCGATCACTTCAACGCCCGAGCGTCATGGCGGAGAAGGGCGTGTGAGACGTTGTCTCAGAGCTCGTCAGGCACGAAACGCGTCGTGTTAATGAACAAACAATTTCTGAGACTCGGGCCCGAACGGAGCCCGATGTCAACCCCGCCGCTGGAATTCTCGACCCAAGGGTCCATCCCCGCCCGGCACAGGCATTAATCTGTTCCGCTGGGAACGAAACAAGAATCAAGGTTATACGCAGTGACGCTCGAGGCCATCCGTAGCCCGAAGAGCAGATGTCTTCGATTTAGATGGACGGCTATGCTTCAAGGGCTGTCGTCGTCTCAGGTGATCTTGGCGCTGGATGAAGCATTTCAGGTCCGTCTCGGGCGTCTCGAGGGAAATCGGCGCTTTCACTGCGGCATTCATTCAGCCTGATCATTGGCTCGTCGACGAGCATGCATGCTTGCTCACGTCCTCGTGGGCCTTTTTTTACGACCCCCCATTAGTGCCTTGCTTGAGGACCGACTGCGCGCATCGTTGGATCGGCATCGATAAGCTGTTCGAGGGTGCTCTCCGCGGCGTGCTGTAGGGACCGTGTACATACAAATGCTGGATAATCGTGCTCTAGCAGCGCAAACGGGTGTTTTACGTACACCCGATCGTGGCAGGATGTCTCGCTTGTATGATAGGCGACGTCGGAGATGGTTGTCTCAATGTCAGTACTTGCAACTTGGGTGCTTTCCGTACACCATCGAACAGTGGCCGACATGGCCGTTGCCAATCGATCAGCCGCCGCGGCGTCGACGCAGCAGTGGCCGTCGTGACGTGCGAAGGCCGTGGGAATGTCGATGTCCTGCATCGAATCGTTTCGCAAGCTCGCTTTGGGATGGGCCAGCTCGCTTAGAGACAGCAGGAAGGGGCTAGGCACTAGCAAACACAGGGTGTACCGCTCTGTGGTCTCTTGCTAGCGCCCTTTGGATGATTTGCGGTTGCCGCCGCCTGTCAAAGTCCCCTTCGCTGCCACCTAGCCGAGCTAAGCAGGAGTGATTGCAAAAATTTGGAATTTGTCTTCGCAGATGAGCTTGGTCATCGCGATGGTGATGAGCTGATACCGCTTCTGTAAGCGATCATGGCTGTATGCATCAACGGATCGCCAAATGGGCGAGGCGATCCTCGCGTTCCTGTAAATCAGTCTTTGCTCGAAAAGATGGTTGGCGTACCCTGCCAATCTCTGCTGTCTCCTCACTTCGACGCACGGCATCTGGAAGCGCGCAAGAAGCTCTCGCATAGCCAAGCCCTCGGATGTGTGACAGCGTCGACTGTGTCGCCGCGGTCGCCGCTGTCCGAAGCTGTCTCGGGTCCGGCATTTAGCCTGAATTCGTGCGCTAGATCGTCTCGACTATTGCTATGTTTCAGAAGAGTGCAGCAGGGTGCCGAATGGACCGAAGTTGTCAGCCAGCTAGCCGAGATACCGAAGCCTGACTGGCAGCAAGATACAACGGCGCTGAGCTGCAAAATTGGCACAGATTCAACCCAGTCTCTGGGTCACAAAAGTGCATGCAACTCAGTCTGAACCAGCGGCAGTGGTCGAGCCCATGCAGTCGGAGTAGGAAATGGAGTGCAGCACGTCTGCCTTTAGCCAAGGGCTGCAGGCGTCGCTGCGTAGGGCTAAGGCGCCAATGCAAACCAAACCCAAAAACTCGCAGGATTTGTTTTTCTAGCTGACAGATTGTGCAAATTGGCTCGCTTGGCGGCAAATCAAACAAACAATTCTCTGACACAGAAAACACGGAAGGCAAGATGTGTCGGTCCGAGTATCAGCACGGAGCAAGTCGCCTTACAGACACGCGCCCCCTCGTTTCCATGCATCGATCCGCGCTGCTCATCGCCCACACCCGAGCTAGTCTCGAGGTCGTCTTCGCTACACACGCTGCGCCATCCCTCGCTGCCCTCAATCACGGCTGACCTTTTCTCCCGTCTTGTGAATCGCTGAGGCTAGTGCGCTGCTGTTGAGCTGACAAGACTGCCGCGAGTCTCATGATATCGAGCAAGTGCCTGAGCGTGCCGTCTCGAGGCCTCGTTGCTCTTCGGCGACAATTATGAATGCTCTTGCGTGCTTGCATTAAGCAAAGCTGATCTCCAGATGTGCCTCCAAGCCAAGACAGGGCAAGCAGGCCCTCGAACAAGACCCTCTGTCTCCCTGTCGTCGAACGTGCGCTGCATCAAGGAACGGACGAGTGGGCCACAGGAAATCAATATTCTCTTTTCTTTTTCCTACTTTTTGATTCTCATCTTCTTAAATTTAATAGAGAATTTTTCGCAGTCCAGGGTCTCGCCGTTTTGGATGTCTCGGAGCCCTTCTGGGCCGGCCAATGTCGCAGACTGGCCTCAAGACACAATGCCCATTCTTCCATCCGCTCTCAAGTTTTCTTGCGCCCTTTCATCGGCTTCGGCAATTCACCTCCTCTCCCCCTGGGCCGCTGTCTACAACCACATCGCTGCACCGGGCGTATCATTTTTCGCCAATGTCTCACCCCCTTCGCTCTCAATGCCCTTGTATGAGCCAAGATCGCATGCCTCGCGTGTGTTTGAGCGGTCGCTCTGTAGCCAACGGTAATGCACGACTTATCGATACACGCCTTGTCTTTGGTCGAAACGTGCTCATACTGCTGCTGTTGGTCACATTTCTGTTGACAGTGTCGGTCGATGAAACCTAAGCGCCCTTGGTCGACGGCAATTGGTTTCATGACTGACCGCAAGCTGCTGACCCCTCCTTGACAGGACATCGTTCGACCTTGGTCCGATCCCCTTGTAGCGGAGAGCGCTCGAGGATCGCTCAACCCACCCTGGCTTCTCTCAATAGTGCTTACCTTGCACCCAATCTTTCCGCCTCTTAAGCCTGCCCCTTTACACGTCGACTTCCCTCATCCCATTCTCTTCCCCTCGTCCACACGCTCCTCCGTCCACGCATCCCTGCGCAGGCTACCCACCTCAAGCACAAGTTTACCTTCCAAGCTCGCACATCAGGACCACACCTTCACACGATCACAAGCATGAGCCGCACATTCCAGCTTCCACCCCGCGTCGCGGGCGACGACGAGATTGAGCAGCTCAAGGATGACCTTCCGGACGCCGAAAGCGATCTCGATCACAGTGGCAGTCCGAGTGGAGGCTATTTCAACCCCTACTCGCACGGTCGCAAGCCAAGCCAAGGTACCTCGATGAGCCGCAACAGCTCCTCGGGCGACCTCACCGGCTCGTATTCGCAACCACACCTCTCGTCAAGCGGGCACGAGTCGCCGCACGGCATGCGCCACAGCCGCTCGGGCTCGTACGAGACCTTCATGGCCAACACGGCCAACTTTGCCACCTCGTCGGCGCAGTCGCACACGAGCGTCATGACCCCCGCTGCGGGTCTGTACGATGCTTCGACCAACACGTCGCTAGCGCACGTAGCGTTGAAGTACCGCAAGCCCTTTGCACAGCGCGTGCTACGGGAGGACGAGACACCCGAGAAGCCGTGGTTGGAGACCAAGAGGCGCAAGACGCACAGCCGCCGCTCCTACTGGATCTTCATCTTTGGTCTTTCGTTCGGTCTTGCTGGCGCAGCGCTGCTGATGTACTTTGCCTACGCGGCTGTGCCCAAGGGCAAGTACTGCCTCGTTCTCGACGAGCAGTTCGAGGGCACGACGATCAACAAGGACATCTGGTTCCACGAGCAAGAGACCGGTGGGTTTGGCAACAACCAGTTCGACTGGACCACCGATTCCGCCAATAACTCGTTCGTCCAAGACGGAAAGCTCTACATTGTCCCCACCCTCACCTCGGACGCTCTGGGCGAAGGCGCCATTACCAATGGCTACACGCTCAACCTGACCGAGTCCAACCTGTGCACTGCTTCCAACAAGACCGATGCCAGTTGTGCGGTGCGCTCCAACTCGACCACGGGTGTTGTCCTTCCTCCCATCCAATCGGCGCGATTGATGACCAACTTTTCGCGCTCGATCAAGTACGGCAAAGTCGAAGTGAAAGCCCGCATGCCTACTGGCGACTGGATCTGGCCGGCGATCTGGATGATGCCCAAAGACTCGGTCTACGGCTCATGGCCCCGTTCCGGTGAGATCGACATCTTCGAAGGTCGCGGCAACGTCCCCACCAAACGCAAGGATCTCGGCACCAACGTCATGTCCTCTTCCCTTCACTTTGGTCCCAACAGCCTGTTCGATGGCTACGGCTATGCGACCAAGATGCGCGATCTTTGGCGCAACTGGTTCAACCAGGGCTCGCACACCTTTGGTCTCGAGTGGACCGAAGATGCGCTGTGGACCTGGGAACACTCGCCGATCTTCCGCAACCTCGATGTCAAGTTCGGCGATGGGTTCTGGAAGCGCGGACAGTTCCCGAGCCAGATGGCCAACGGTACGCTGTTGAGCAACCCCTGGGCGAATGTTCAGGGTGAACACAGCAACGCCGCACCTTTTGATCAGGAGTTTTACCTTATCCTGAACGTCGCTGTTGGTGGCACGAACGGGTACTTCAAGGACGGTCAGGGTGACGATAAGCCGTGGTCCAACGACGCCGAGAACGCCGCAGGTCAGTTCTGGCAGAGCAAGGACAAGTGGCTCCCCACCTGGCCTACCGACCCCAAGCAGCGCGGCATGGAGATCGAGTACGTCAAGATGTGGCAGAAGTGCTGAGCTGTCTCTCGCGGGGTTTCATAGTGTCACCTGTTGTCCTCTCATTCAGTTTCATTTCGGTTTGGCTCAGTTGTATTTGCACCTTCTCATCTAATCCTAGTATCATAGATCATATCTGCATTGCGTGTGTCATTGAACAAATCCAGGCCGATTCCTCAACCCGCCATTCGGCATCGAAGCGGTGGAAGACGAGGCCAGACCGATCCCAGCTCCCGCGACGGACCCGCGAAAGCTGCCCGGCACCTCGATGTGCACGTCTGAACCCGGTGCGCTCTCGGTGGCCGCACCGTTGGCGCGGAGCGCGGCCTGGGTGAGACTCGTCGCGTGCTGCTGCTGCGAGTACAAACCCGCTGTGTGCGCACGCCAGGCTTCGACGCTGCCCATGCTACTGGGGATGCTTCGCGCCGAATGCGGACCCAAGGCTGACGAGGAAGACCGAACGTGTGGTGGCCTCGAGGAAGAGGATTGTCGATCCGAGGAGGCGTGCAGCATCTCCTGTCGCACCGATTCGTGATGGCCAGGTTGGATGACCGACTCGTCCGGTCGCTCGATGCCTGTTCCCACCTTCATTTGCCCAGGTCCGCCGACGGACTCGACCGATGCAGTGTCGCCTTGAACGCTCGCGCCCTGCGTCGTGGCTGCATCGGCAGCGTCGGAGTCTTTCGCCGCAGATGGAGAGGGTACCAGGTTGGGCAAGGTCAAAGACCAATATCGTGGCCAGACGAAGCGGTCCATGATCCACCCTCGTAGCCTCGATATGAGCAACTGTTCGATCTTGGGTATGTCCTGCAACTTCGCTCTCGAGCCCAACAGGCTGCTCGCCGACGCCTCTAGCGCGAAATCTGGATGCAACGAGAAATGCAGCTGATGCCGCGACCGGGGTGGTGGTATCTTCTGTTTGCTACTCGCCGGAGCGGCGGTGGGAAGAACCGTCGCATTGGGATCCGAAGAAAACAGCTCGATCGCCAACGTCCCTGAAAATCGCACGATGGTCAGACTGAGCGAGACGGGCAGCACGGCAAACCGGGGCTTGGGGAAGTTGATGAGCAGCTTGGTGTCGATGGCAAGGGTGATCTGGTCCGAGTAGTCGACGTCGATCTCGATGCGCGTGCGACCGGTGTCGTCGGCTGGACGGACGCGGGCGTTGGTGAAGATGGGGTAGGCATCTCCGAAGTCGGCTTCTGTGACGCGGATGGGGTCGAGGAAGGAGGAAGAGGTGCGGTTGAGGATCTCCTCCATCAGGTCGCGTGCAGTTCGCTCCTTTTCCGGCTCGAGGTCGGCGGGTGGGTCGAGAGGGTCAGTGCCGAATTGGATGCCGGGTCCACCATGCCGGGTGTTTGCGCGATGAGTTGAGGTCGGAAAATCTGGTGAGACGCCTCCGGCAAGGACATCCTCGCGATATCCTGCGATGGCTTGGGCGAACATAACATTGAGCCAGTCGGTGCTCTCAGGCAGATGGGATGAGAGGTCGTAGGCGGTCTTGTCGAGGATGTTGGCGAACACAGAGGCTCGGGTATCTGATGAGATGCGGTGCGACTTGCGTAACGGATTGGACGAGGGTGTTGCTGCCCTGCGAGCACCTTGCAAGAGAGTCTTGGCATGACGCTTGGAGCGACGTTCCGATATCTTGAGACGCATCAGGCGTTCCTTTTCAAGAGCAGTAGCCGAGTCCTCGAAGATGACATATCGGATGAGCAGCAATGCTACGAGAACCATAGATAGCTGGCCGACGATAAGGCCCTGTGTGAAGGTCCATCGTGATGGTGTTGGCAGGTAGGCAAAGTAGGCGGTTGTTGGCACGGCATGTTGCGCGGGCGGAAACGCCAGACTAGCCTGTTGATCTGGCGGTTGCTGCATCGTAGAAGAGGGCGCCGAAACGGCTGGAGTATGTGTCGCTATGGCCTACGCATGGCGGTGTGGCCTCGCTTTCTCGATCTGCAGTGGTTGGTAACGAGCATCACAAGAAGGTTGTGGGAGTTCAACAAGCGGCTTCGTGACAGAATCTCGGATGACGGGTGGAGCAGTTAGTGAATCGGCGATCTGCCATGCTAGAATTTGAGATGCGTTTTGTTCTATCTCGTACGAAAGATCTCCCAGCGCGATACGACAGTCTGGCCTCGCCCTGGCGGCGTGCTGGCGGCTCCGGCAGGGCCACCTACGCCACTCCTCTGTCAATGGTCCGAAAGCTTCGACCTCCAGCGGCGTCAGACTCTTCGTCGAGCGTCAGTTCATGACAAAGCACGTTCTCGCTGGATGCTGCTTGTTACTCATCGATGAACATATACATGGAAGTCGCTGCCAGCTGCGAGTCGATGCTTCAAAGTGTCAGCAGACGGTCAACTCCGAACTCGCGCTTATGTTGCGCTGTGAAATCATGTGGAAATGAATTTCGGTCTTTGCCAGCCGAGCAGTCCGAGTGAAAGGCGCGTTGTGCGGTGTGGAAGCGTGTGTGTGTGTTGCTTGTTTAGCCTGGAAATTCTCAAATTTTGCCACAGCCTGCCGCTCTCGAACCCAAAAATCTCAAATTGCTGCGCAGCTCGAATTAGGCGATGCGGAACCCTTGCTGATCCTTTTCGCTAACAAGCGAGTCCATCTCCTTCTCTTCGTTCACCCACCATCACTATTCTACAAGCGACAATGGCGGCAGCAACATCATCCAAGATGCAGCTCTTCTCGGCGGACGACGTTGCCAGGCACAAGACCGCCTCTGATTGCTGGGTCATCCACCGCGGCAAGGTCTACGATGTCACCGACTTTGTCGAGGATCACCCGGGTGGAGACGACCTTATCCTCCGCTACGCCGGCAAGGATATGGGTGAGATCATGGACGATCCCATCGAGCACTCTCACTCCGACTCAGCGTACGAACTGCTCGACGAACACATCATCGGCCGCTTGCCTACCACCGACGCGGAGAAGGAAGCGCTCAAGGAACGCGCTGCCAAGGGGGGCTACTCGGGCAAAGACGACTCGATCGTCATCACCGACGACTTCCACCCCGACGAGACCGACCAATCTTCCGATTACAAGCAGAACAAGTTCCTCGACCTCAACAAGCCACTCATGCCCCAGATGCTTAGCGCCAACTTCTCCAAAGAATTCTACCTCGAGCAGGTGCATTCGCCACGCCACCTCAAGCACCCCGCCCGCTTCTTCAACCAGGACTACCTCGAGATGTTTACTCGAACGCCGTGGTACGTGGTGCCCATGGTGTGGTTGCCCATTGCCAGCATCATCTTCTTCCGCTCTGCGACGCAGTTTGCGTCCAACCTGGCAAAGACCCCGCTCAACGCGTCCAACTGGTACGAGGCGGCGTCGAAGCCCACCCAGTTCGATACGGGTGTGTGGTCGGTGGCGCTGACGCAGACGGCCATCTGCTGGGCGATTGGCGTGGTCATCTGGACGCTCCTTGAATACTCGATCCACCGCTTCCTCTTCCACATCGACAACATCCTCCCCGACAAACCCATGTTCTTGACCCTCCACTTCCTCCTCCACGGCGTACACCACTACCTCCCCATGGATCGACTCCGTCTCGTCATGCCCCCGCTGCTCTTCTTCCTCCTCAGCTACCCATTCACCCAGCTCGCACACACCATCTTCCCACACGCCGTCGCAAACGGCATCATCTCCGGCGCCTTCAGCATGTACGTCGTCTACGACTGCATGCACTATGCGCTGCATCACACCAAGCTGCCCCAGTACATGAAGGAGATGAAGCAGTACCATCTCGAACACCATTACAAGAACTTTGAGCTCGGATTCGGGGTGACGAGCAAGGTGTGGGATTACGTGTTTGGTACCCAGCTTTGATCATGTACAAGTATACCTCGCATTTCGTTCAGCTGTAGATAGTGTTGCATAGAAAGCATCTGAAACCGCATCTATTGAGTTGTGAGTGTGTGGCTAGAGGAGCAGACTTTGCACGGTCTGGATGGAGGTGGTTGGGCCGACGACGCGCATTCGCAGTCGGACGCCGCCCACCTCGGGCGCGGGGAGCATGCTGAGCGACGAACTCAGGTCTTGTCCGTGTCTGGCGTCTACGCGGAGGACAGCGTGCCAGCTGCGCCCGTCTGAAGCGGAGACGTGGGTGGAGAGGATGTCGACGTTGTATGCGCCGCCGAGGACGCCCATCGTGGCAGTCTGGGCGGTGTGCACCAGCGACAGGATGTATGCCGGCAAGATCACGGGCAGTGTCGCGGTCGAGGGTGAGGGGGAGAGGTGCAGACCCAGATAGCGCCAGTCCGAGGGTTTGAGGCCTTTGCGTGTGTAGCGTTCGAGTGTGACGCTCGGCTCAAAGAGAGGCTTTGCTGTGAGGACGTGATGAGACAGGAGATGGGATGCAGTCAGTATTGCGGTCGTGCAGGGCTAGATCTACAGAGTGAGCAGAAAGGGATACTAACTGTCTCGCTTGTCGCCATTCGCTTCCGTTGCCTCGACAGCTTTGTCGTCATCGAGGGCGGCGGCTGCGCCCAGCGTGCCAGCTACGACGGTGGCTGCACCCGACGACTTGCTGCTTTCGCCCTGGCCTGGCTTCTTGCTTTGCTTTCCCTGCCCCGTCTTGCCCGACGCAGCAATCTTCTCATCGGCACCATCGGCCACGCCAGCCGCAGTTCCGTCCTCATCTCCCTCCGTGTCTGCCGCAAACAGCGCCTCCATCGCCGGCGTGTACCCCTGGATCCTCCCAAAGCGGCTCAACGGATAGGTCACCATGTCAAACGCCAGCGCGATCGGCACATTCTTTCCTTGACCTTGCTTTTGCAACGCAAAGAGCGACGACCGCGCCATCTTCGGGTATCGCTGCGAGAAGTGCGTCAGCAGGATGTTCTGTGCGCCCATCTCGTGGCCGACACGGATGGCCTCGCCGAAGGTCGAGTGGCCTTTGCCGATGGCCATGTCCAGCTGACCGTCTTCCAAGGTGGCTTCGTGGATGAGCAAGCTGCAGTCGCGTCCGGCGGCGATGAGCTCCGGTGCAGGTCGCGTGTCGCCCGAGTAGGTGATGGACCAATCGGGATGGCGCAGGACCAGCCCATAGCAGTGCGAGCCGCGGTGCACCACACGTGCGGTGTGGATCGCAGAGAGTCCAGTGAGCGACTTGATGGCGGAGACGTGGGCGAGGTCCTCGCTCCGTGCTTGCTGCTGGCCGCGACTGATGCCGTTGGTGTGAGGGGTGACAGAGGTGCCGTCGGAAGGTGGAGTGGGGTCTACTCCGGTCTGATGATCAAGATGTTCGTTGAGAACGAGAACGACGTCTTCGTCCAGTCCGAGCTTCTCGACGTGCTCGTACTCCTCGAGGTAGTTATGCACGAAGCCTGTGCCTACGAGGTAGAGTGGATGCTCGGGTCGAGGCTGGAGCTTCCGTCGCTCGAGCAGGATGCGGATGAGGCCGATGTGATGATCCGCGTGGATGTGGCTGATGAATAGCACGCGCATCTCGCGGAGGATGTCGTCGATGTCCTGTGGTACCAATGCACCGCTCTCAGCAGCGGTACCATCGCGTCGACAACCGAACTTGCGGCGTAGCAAGCCATAGGTCGATTCGCCGGCATCCAGCAGGATGGTGCCCGAGGACGGCGTCTGGATCAGGGTGGAGATGACGTTGCGATACTTGCTCGGCGCTGCTGAGCCCGTGCCCAACGTCGTCACCAAGATATCTTTCTCTGGAGCGACGTCCGACGATAGAGGCGCAGTGTCGAACTTGATTCGCTTGACCACGTCGAGGTAGTCTTGCCACGCCTGCTTGCGTGCTTCTCTGAGACGAGTGTTGCGCACAGCGCCGAGTTCGTCTGTCCCTGGAGCCGACGATGCAGTCACACCGTTCTTGGAGTTGTTCTTGGCCTTGGCTTTGACCAGCTGCTGCACTTGCTGCTCGGTCTCCTCAACCGTGTCGAAATCGAACGCAGCAAGCTTGTCGGCCTCTTCGGAGTTCACTGGGAAGTCGAAGTCCGGCGCGCCTGAGTGGTAGCGTTTGGGTCCGCCCCGAGGCTGCAGCGGAATGACCTGATCCGCCTCTGCTGCACCGAGCTTGAGTGGGAAGCCAACCTCTTCTGTCTTGCCGTTGGTCGTTGCCGATGACAATGCTGAGAGAGGCGACCTCGGGGTAAGCTGATACTGCGGCACCTTGAACATGACCTCGTCGAGCTTGGAAAGTCGAAGCGGAATCGTCGCGCTCGAAGGGTACATGAGCTTGTTAGCGCAGACGTCATGGTTAGCGACGATGTGGTGACAGTCGGGCCCGAAGGTACGCATCCATGATTGGTAGCGCGCATCCTTGAGAACGCCAGTCGGCACTGCGTGGACGATAGCTTGGGGTGTTCGAGACTGCTCTCTGCTGAGTCCTTGGTTGGCTCCGGCAGTATACGGCAAGAAGGTGGACGCAGCTCTCTCGCTGAGCAGATCGTCAATGTAGTCGGTTGATGGCAGGTAGACGTGCAGCACGACCGCACCAGCACGCGAAGGGCCCATGACGTCGGTGGACCTCACGTGTACTTCCTCGACATCGTTCCATGCAGCTGGTGGCGAGTCTGTCGCGCTCCCACCCTTTGCCTTTCCATTTGGCCTTGGTTTGCTGCCAGCTGGACCACCGCGCTGACCTCCTCTCTGGCTCTGCGACCACCTCTTCTTCTCTTCTACTGGCATACTTGACCAGGCCTTCGGACGCTTGAGCGTGACGTCTTCTCCCCTTGTCAAGGCCGCGAACAGAGGACCTGGCGGAACACCGGCGGCTGTCGCTTTGACGGGGTCAAACTTGCCTCGCTGTGGATGCGCTTCGCAGATGAACGCTAGAACGGGAGCTTGACCGCCTTCTGCTGGGTCGCTCCGCTCTGACGATAGGTTGCGTGTGTCCGAGTGCGGCCGTGGTAGCAGTCGTGTGACGAAGGCAGGCGACAGTGGTGGACGCCAAGGTGAAGTCCCTCGAGCGTGTAGTTGCGTCGGAGCTGGTGCACGGTCGGCATCTTCCATCTCGACGTCGTTGATTGAGACGCTTGGTTGCTGTGTCGAGGTCGCCTCTACAGCCTGCTGTTGTCGTCTACGTAGTAGCGAGTCGTTGAAAATGCTACCCGAGACGAGATGGATCCAAGCTTGTGCGTCTTCGGCCTGTAGGCCAGACGGGTTGAAATGAGGCTTCCGCCATAGCTGATCCACTTTCTCGAGTGTGGTTGCTGAGGGGCCTGCAGCGCGATTGTCATCAAGCTTGGGCCTCTTGGACGCTCGCTTCGCGGCGCTGGAAGGAAGCAGGGGCACGGCGTAGATGGCGAGGTTGTCGTCGGTGAAAACGGGTGATGCTGTGATCCCAGTACCGGCGCTGGAAGTACCTGCTTGTGCTGGGATCTCGCTGATGTTGAGCTTCATTATGTCACGCTTTGCGTAGGTGCGCATGGTGGCGAGGGCATAGCGAAGACCTTGGGGTCCGTGTAGCGACTCGCTGGCACGCTGGCCATCTGCCATGGACATGAGGACGCCAGGTAGACCACCGATGGCCTCCCATCCTACGCGAGAGACGAAAATATTGGTGACGCGGCTGAGATTGGCCTTGCGCTGGGTGGAAGAGCGCGAGGTGCCTTCGCCGACATTGAATAGGTATCGGTCGGCGCCAAGCTGGAGGATGACGGGAGGCAGCACATTGGTGTCGGAGGATGGCACGTGAAGCACGCGAAGGTCGGCGAGCATGCTTCTTTGTGGTAGGTATTGGCGCTGCTGCTGAGAGCTCAGGGAGCTGACAGACGTGCTGAAAGTGTGTAGGGAGAATGTGAGGCCGTTGACGGGTGGACGTCGAAGTATGCGAGATGTCGAGCAGGTGGTCGAGGGGGACCACCACCACATGCGTCTGTAGCCTTGCTCGCGTCCACAGTTCCCTGGGCCAAAGCTGTCTGCTCTCGAGGAGGCTGAGCGACCGAGCAGATGAGAGTGTTGATTCGATGTCGATGTCGACTGCCGCAAAGGCTCTTCCAAAAAAGTGAGACTTTTGAGAAGACTCGAATCCAAAAGACGGAATTCGGACAAGGCAGCACAGCGCAGCATCTTTTTTCTCTGGCTGCTGAGCGCGCTGATGGTGGAGGTTGGCCAACGACTTTGACCTGAGCTCAGCAGAGCAGAGCTGAGCTGAGCAGAGCAGCAGAGTTAGCCGTGTAGGCGTAGCAGTCACAGCAGAGAGTCTCGTCAAGTCAGTCGCTTCGCATCGTCTTTCGGTGACGACAGCAGAATGGTTCAGAAGAAAGCATAGCCAGGTTGCCGTTTTGCTTTCACACAGAGTGATCACATTGAGTGATGGCCATCTCCGGTGTTCCGTCTGCTGTGTCAAAGCAAGGCATCCCCGCTTGAGCCTTGACTGATGGCCAAGGCGGTCCGCTGAATCTTTGCTGCGCAGCTCTCTTGGACTTGATGGACGGAGAGGCCCAAGCGGCAGTCGACTGCTCACAGCCAAGACAGTCTGACTCTTTTGCAACCGTGCGCAGAGGAACAAAGGGCAAAGCAAATGAGCTCAGCCCACCGCAACACGCTTGAGCCTTTTGGCTAAAGGTACATTCTTCGAGATTGCTTGAAAAGATTCCTCCTCGCCATCACCCTCCTTTGGCTCTCCCAGCATTCCGCTACCATAAGGACAAGCGATCCGGCACGATGTACTGTCAGCATCACCCCAAGACACAACTTGTCCCCGCTTCCCATCTCAATCTTAGGCTAAAGACCATCGTTCGAGAGGGCGAACGACTCGATCCCTCCATCGCCACTCCGGACGAGGTCACTCATGCCCATTGCGCTGGAAGCGTCTTTGCTAGGGTCCTGCAAGGCAACACGTTCCTCAAGAGCTCCAATGCAACCCTGCGCACCCTCAACAAGCTCAAGCGATCCACGAATCGATCGCGTGACAGTCCCAATGCCTTGGTCTACGAGGACCACCACTATGGGATCGTCGATATCTTCTGCCTGCTCGACTACCACGTCATGCCGCTCCAAGGCGATCCTCTTTCGCGCTTCAAGCTTGTCACTCGTCTCGGAAAGGAGAAGCTTCCACGACCACCCCTCAAGATCCTCATCCAATCGCTGCGCTTCGACATCTCGACACTCTCGGAGCTGCTTCGTCGTGACATTTGCACGGTCTTGCGTCCAGAAGAGATTCTCGAGCACTCACCCGACTTCTTAAGACAGCGCTTTCGGGTGATTCGCGCAGTTCAGAACCTCTACGCAGAGCACTCGATCATGCTGGCGCCCAGCGACGACGCTTTCTTCTTTCGCGACTGCAAGGTCTGCTCAAAATACGACCCAGAGATCATCCGCTTCGGCCGTGATCTCTACCGTTTGCTTCTCAGGATCTTCCATGGCGAGCCCAACAGACCCATCTCGATTCGCTACTTTACTCCAAAGCCTGAAACTTCCGAGCCGGAGATGACCGACGACGAAGCATAATTCCACCCCACCACCAAGTTGGCCTCGCAACGAATGCGAAAATGAACCTCCTCAAGCAGTGTTGCAGCTTGTTCGATGTATTGTATCAAGGTGACTCGCAACACAGAGTCATGCCGCGCCCACAGCCTTGTGCGTATATAACCTTTGCACGATCTTGCTTCTCAGCCACACCCATCAACGCCACCATCACCGACCACGAAAATGACCTCCGTTCGCACGCCCTTTTTGTCCATCATCGCAGTCCTGTGCATGTTTTCATTCCTTCTTGCGGCTGTCACAGCTCCTGAAGACCCTACCGAAGCCACCCGGCGTGCCAATCTCAACAAACTCAGTCACTTTCGAACCGTCTATCGAGACAGGTACATGTTCGGCCACGAGTTTCCTCAGCCCGTGGATCGAGACATTCTGCAGAGCTACCCGGCATCGATTCGTCAGAATGCTCATCAGCTGAGACGTCTGGGCCAGCCCGGAGGTCCAGAACGCATGGACGTCGGCAAGCTCCTCTCTGACCTCGACGACTTGTTCAAGACGCTGCTCATCACCTCCTTTCATCCCGAGGTCATCGAGGCCCAGCCCCATACCGTCCTGGCGCAACACCTCAGTACCGTCGGAAAGCTCGTTACGTGGATGCACGAGAACATGGACCGACTCGGCGAGATCGTCGGCGAGAACAGGGCCGAATCGCATCTTCAGAGGTTCAAGGACATGCGCGACCTTGCAGGATCTACGACTCTGATCCCTAAATTTTGATCACAGCAGGCACTCACGATGTTTGACTAGCTTGGTTCAATGTCAGTCCTTGGTAGTTGCACGGCAGACTGAGAGGAAGAGTGAAGCATCGTGAGCACGCTAGTGAGTGGGCGCGCGAAGAGAAGCGTTCCAGGCCGGTCTTTGATTTCCGGGCGGATTTCCACGGTGCATGACAAAGAAGGGTCGCTTCCACGCATGGAAGCGCCAAGCCTGTCAGGGCTCGCTTAGCATCTTGTCCGGACTACGACCGGCGAGAGCCTCTGCCAGAACATGAGGAGATCGCTCTCAACACTCCCAACTCTTGACCCCATCCATCCTGCAGTATGAGCACACAACCACCGCCCTACCTCCCCGACGACCTGAGCACCGCGTCCGACCAACAGATCAAGCATGCCATCATGTACATCATCAAGAACCGACTCACCGACGAGCGCGTGCTGGTCAACGGCCATACCGTCGCTGCTCTTCTCGGCGAGCGCAATCGACGGCGTCCCACCGAGAGGCCATTACGCATACGTGATCAGACTGGGAGCTCATCCGCGACGGGTACTCAGTGAATCGATTCGATTGCTTCACTGAACGAATGACACGACATCAAATTTATGGGCGAGACGCTCGCAGCTCGCCACCACCCGGCCTGATGCGCTCCGCGTCGGATGCGAATGGTTCAGCAGCAGCACTACTAGCAACGTCTTCTTCCAGCACCATGAAGCCGTGCGTGGTGACCACTTATGCCGGCTCGAGCCAGCTCGCGAGAGTTGTGGTGGTGAAGAACTGGGGTCGAATGCTGGGTGCACGACTCACGACTGCGGGAGCGTTCCTCGAGGCAAGATCTATAGCAGCAGTGGTTCCGCGGCGCTGCTGATGGTCGTAGTCGGCATCAATACGTTCGATCAGGCGCTCGGACTTCCTGACGCCCGCCGTCCCCGCTTGCGTCGCGAAGCTGGTCTCGGAAACGGTCTCAGCCAGGGTCGTCGAGGTGTAGGCGCTGCGCATACTGCCGTGCTTGTGGCTCCTGCTCCCAGACAGAGGAGAGAGCGCTGCATGCGGATAAACGGCCTCGCTCGCCTCTGTCACTTGGCCCAACCAACGATAGACGCTGTCGACCAGCCGGCTTCGCCGGTCCTCTTCCATTGCCGGTTTGAAAGGAGGAGCAGTGCTGGCATGGCGCGGAAGGAGGTGATGTCGTTGGGCTAGGCGCTCGATATAGCTGGGTCGACGCTTGATCGAAGCCGGCCAGAGAAGGTCTTCAACACTCCGTTCGACGAGAGGCTCCTTCTTTGCTCTGTAGTCACCCCCGCTTCGAGCTACAGGCCTCGGTAGCTGGAGAGCGGGTACAGGCGGGTCAAACAACGTCCATCCTCGGCCGTTCCAAGTGCTTTGTGGAGCGCTCGCTGCAGCTTCCGCGCCAGCATAGGTCCGCATCGGCACGTACTGCCTTGTGTCCTGCTTCGGGGCATCGCTCTTGGCATCTTTATCTTCGACGTGGTCATCGTCGACCACAGTGACGCTGTCGAGTGAGTGGCAATCGTCCAGCGGCTGCCCACCTTCGATGGCGGAAGGAGTTTGCGATGTTGACTCCACCTTACGCTCGCATCTGGCTCGACGCTCTCGAGCACAGCAGGTGAGACGCAGGAACCAGGCAAGCGCGACAATGAGGGTAGCTATCACGAGTAGGCCACCAATCACGATGCATACGAGCAGTAGCACACTGTGACGGATGGGATCCGGCCACGCCTTCGCTGGTGCTTGGTTGGTGAGGGGCGGCATATGAACTTCTGGTTGCTTGGAACTCGCCTGAACACCTATCCGGGGGCTTATACGAAGCAGCGTCAAGCTGATCGATGACGAAGAGCAAGATGGGTCGAAAGCGAGGACGGAGTCCTTGGCTGGGCCGAGAATGTCAAGGGAGGGGACGAAGAAGTGAAGGTAAAGACAGAACGGTGATGGAGGGCGCCAGGCCATGGATGAGGAAAGGAAGATAGGCAGTCGGCTGGCGTAGCGGTCCTTTTGAATGGCTCGGAGTGGGCGTGATAGCTCAGTCGAAGACGAGGTAGACTCTACTCCCAGGCGAAGCTGGTGTTACGTGAAAGAGGGTTGGCTAGCATTATCATGTAGATAAGCTCGAAGGCGGCACCTAGCTTACAGTACTCTCACAGTTCAAGCATACTCTCATCAGCGGAACCGAGGCCAGGTAGGCGTTGCTGAGAAGGCGTAGACGGTGATGCAGGCTTGGCCATGATGGACGAGATATGTCGCTTTCCTTGACAGCTCCAGCTAAGCCGTAGCTGAAATTCCAAATTGTTACATTTCAAGTTTTTCAGAAGAAGGCTGAGCCGAAAATCGCGCGCGGGCGAGACCAACACCGGAAAGCAACACTTTCTTCCCACCTCTCGTCGAGCCTGCTTGCCAAGACGGGAGTATGCTGCACCCTCGAGCTTGAGCCCATCAAGCCTCACAGAGCGCTACGAGCCTGCAGATGCTCGCAACAGCACACTAGGGACCACAAGTTGACGATGGCGGACCTAACAACATACCTGGTGCTCGGCTTGGTCATCCTCCCGCCCATACTTCGGCAAGGGCAGCGACTCATCTTCGCCGCTCGCTCACCTCTTCGCAATGGGGACGCACAGCAGCTGCAGCAAGGCAGATTCATCTCAGCACAGCGTTTGACGCCGTTCGCCTCGCCGTTCTCCGCCACAGTCTCTATCGCCACGGTAGCACTGGTCTCGGTTAGCATCCGTAATCTGATACCAGCTCGCTATGGAGTCGACATCTTCATACCCGCCTCTGCTGTCCAGGGGCTGCGTCGATCGATAGTCAGTCTGTATACGATGCCAAGCGTGCTCAGCTCGGATGTCGACAAAGCACTCATTCACATCGAAGCCTTCCGGGGCGGCTATAGTCCTGACCTCTTCTTGGCATATCAGGCGCCTATCACCATCCCGACCACTACGCTGCGCAACCTCATCAGCCACACGCCCTCTTTGCTCCCACTCGGCTACCTCACCGAGGCTAAGCAGGTAGAGCTGCAAGCGCTCATGGCTCGTCTCTCCAGCTACGAAGGCAGACGCATGTATCTGCTCCTGGGTGCCCGGCCGTTGCTCGACTGCACGTTCTGCAAGACAGCCAGCGACTACTTCTGGTACGCTGTTCCGTTCCTCTTCGGCACGTACGCTTGGCGCATTTTGGCTGTGGGTCTGCTCACGACGCATCCGGACGACTCGATAGCTGTTGCGATACGTCAAGCAGCTCGACTCTTCAGCTTCTCATCTCACAGTGCGACGCATGCTCCAAACTCAAATGGACATGCACGCGCATATGAAGCCGATCGAAGCGGCAGGCGCGCGTTCTCTCTCACAGTGCTGCTCGGACTGCTCGCAATCGAGCTGATCATCATGTTTGAGTTCGGCCAAGTCTCCACTCAAGCTTCGCGATTCAACCACTGGCACACCAATCTGCACATCCTTCGCCAGCTGGTCTTTCTGTCCCTCGTGGTGGTCATCTACCTGTTCCCTGCGCCCCGCGTCGCGGATGGCTTTCAGCAAAGCATGCTACATCTCGACGGCACCCAACAAAGCCTGCAGAACATCATGCACGTCTCCGAGCTGAACGACGTCGCTCGCGGTGTGATTCTGCAAGATGAGCACCTGCTCGACCTCGCGAGGCAGTCCAACAGCAGCACGCACCGAGACGCACGGCATGAGATAGATCCGCAAAAAGCCGACAGAATCATTGACGCAGCGAGATCGCACGGAGGTCAGCCAGCACAAGAAGCGATCGCACAAGCTCAAGCAGGTATTAGCACGGTGACGCGGCAATGGTGGCGAAACGCTGAGCTAATCAACCAACCCAAGGACAGCTCGGCGTGACATCATGCCAACGCCCATTAGAGGAGGGTTACACAAGACAGCACTTCGGCCGCCGACAGCCGACTCCAGTGCAGCTGCGGTGTTCCGGTCGGACGGTCGAGATGCAACTACTGTAGCTCGGTCTGTCAGAAAATCAATCACGACCCGCGCTACTGCAGCTCCGTTGGTCAACGATAACTTTGTGCAATGGGTCATTTCGCTTGGCGACGCCGTGAACGCTTTGTGCGGACGAATAATAGGCGCGCGTCCTGCGATGTCGTGCGGGGGCCTGTCATGACCCTCATCAACGACAGGTCTGGCCGACGACTGCGATCTTTCAAGGCCAGAGCTCCACAGCCAACGCACAGCATACGAGCAATCATCAGCTCACTCGAAACCTCGAGGCACTACAGCAGTCAAAGTGCGGAAAGCGTAAGAGACGCAGGTCGACGGGCCCAGTCCCCTTCAGGGATAAAAGTCTCGCTGTAAGCGTGTCCCACCCTTTGTGTCTCTACCTTCACTCCAGCCCTTCACAACTCCATAGCACTCGGTCGACCTCGACAAGCTCTGCTATCCAGCATACCGTCTCTCACCGCTGCTCGCTCTCCGCGATCACGTTTGCCCATTCTTCACAATCCACGAGGGTTCTCATCCCATCGCACGCCCAGTCTCTCGACACAGCAACGAAGGGGCGCACGTCTTGGTAAGTCTCACCGCCTGCACTCATGTTCAGCTCCTTGACCCTGGCACTTACCTCTCAGGTGTGTCTATATCTTCCGTCGACCTCCTTTCAGTGTGTCGGTGTCGCGATCCGCGCAATGGCCTCCCCTCAGCAAGCGCAATTCCGTCAAGGCGATGCGTCGTCCACAAATTATGGGCACGGTGCGATCCTTCGACGGCTCGGCTATATTTGCCGAAAGATGAATGTCCTCGCCGTTCCGCTGCCGGCACCCGATCACTCGTCGTCCAACAACATCCATAACTACTCAATCGATGACCCGACCAATCCTTGCAATACAGAGGCCCTCCTGAAGCTGCCGAAGCTCGTTCTGGTGGGCGGACAGAGTGCGGGCAAGAGCTCTCTGGTCGAGTGTCTCAGCGGCGTGCGTCTCCCTCGATCGGACGGCACTTGCACACGCGGACCACTCGACATCGATATCACCCCCACCGACGTCGAAAGCACACGACCCTTCGAGACTCAGCCGTCGTGGACAGCCGCCATCTCGGTGGTCCTGCCAGCATCCGGCTCCGCAGCGCCCGGATCCATCGTTCAGTTCGGCGACACGATCCACGATCCGTCTCTTGTAGCCGACCGCCTTCGGCGAGCGTCCATCGCTGTTTTGGACAACTTCCAAACCTCATCCCGAAAGCCCAAGCCCTCCGACATCGTCGCTGCCAAGTACTTCAAAATGACCATCGATGAGCTCGCGGACGCCGAAGATACCAACAAGACCGACCTGCCACTGTTCTTTCCCGAGGGGGCTCGGCTGTCTTTGTCCATTCGGGCTCTAGGCGCAGAGCCGCTGTGCTTCACCGACCTGCCCGGCCTCATCACGTTCGGCAACCCGACCGAGCTTGACGCGACTCGCCGCATCATCACGAGAGAGATCCAGGACAAGTCAACCATCATCATTTACGTTGCCGCCCTCGACTCGGACCTGCGCAGCCAAGGCGCCTTCCTGCTGGTCCGCGACGCCGACAAGACTGGCAGTAGGACCGTCGGCGTGCTGACCAAACCCGACCGAATGACGGGTGGAGATCGCCAGTGGACCAACCTGATCAACGAATCGTCGCCGCTCAGCGTCAAGGGCAACTCTGGCAAGCACTACCTCAAACATGGCTGGCACGTCGTTCGCTGCCCTGGGCCGGACGAGGAGCTCTCCGAGATTGATCAGATCGAAACCGAATTCTTCCTCGGACGTGGAGGCGATGCAGCCCAGGGATGGCAGCGCACTGCTGCAAAGCTCGACGCCATCGATGAGCACGGAACCTTTGTCGAGACGCGGTGCGGGCTCGCCAACCTTGCGAGGAATCTGGGCATTCTTCTGGTCCAGGAAATCAAGGCGACTGTTCCGAATACGCTCGCAGCGGCCAGCGTGATCGCGCAACGTCTCGACCGCGAGCGACTTTCGATCGTCAATAAGCACCGGAGCAACGCCGCCTTCCCTTCTCGCATCACCGGACAGGATTCTGCTGCCAGCTTCCCCACGGAACGGCAGCTCATCCTCAGCGTCGACAAGATCGTCTCCTGCTTTCAGATGTTGAGCTTCGACATCAACAAAGACCTGGCTCCGCGCCTTCTTGACGAGTTGCTTGCCATCGCTCCGATTTACCTTCCTTTCACCGCCGCTGAAGCGGATGACCCGGAGCTCGTCGCAGCCTATCGTCCTCAGCCCTGGACCTTCCACACCAAGCTGTTCAAGAAAGTCCCTCGATCCTTCGAGCTCGATGAGCACCCCAACAAGAATGACGATGGCGACGATGGCGACGATGGCGACGATGGCGACGCTGCGCCTGATCAAGCTGAGTGCAGCACGGACGCGCGCCATCCTTCCGCAAAGTCAGTGACGATTGATGACCTCATGAAGCGACTCAAATCGGGTCCGAGCTTTAGTATTGGAGTGGCTTGGTGCCACACGTTCGAGGCGATCCATGCTGAGCTTCAGCAAAGTTTCCAAGCCGCCGTCGAACGGTACACAAGGCTGGTTCGAGAGCATCTCACCTCGCTCATCAACAAGGCGGTGCCCAGCGACATCCGAGAGACGTACCCTGAGCTCGTCGCAGATCTCGTCAAGATCGCCAACGACTTTGTTCAGGAGCGTCTGACCACCGATATGGACGAGCTCACTGACAGGGTCGCTAAGCATTCGCTTTGCGAGCACGCGCCCAGTCGAGCTGCCAGTAGCAGTATCCTCTTCAGCGGAGACGAGAGCGAGTACGCCGGATGGGTTGCTCGAGAGCAAGAGGCCTATCTCATGCTGCGGATGAACCTCATTGCCAAGGACAGGGCCGACGAAGGCGACAAGACCTTCCTGACCAATCTCAGCAAGTACATCGAAGGTCTTTACAAAATGGGTCTCTTCGGACAGAAAGGCAAGGACGACCGCGATACCGATCTCTGCTACATGAAGCCCATTCCGGGCGGTCTGATGCAGGCTCCGACTCAGGCCGCGCCCAAGACTGCAACCAGAAGGGCAAGAAAGAGTACAGACACAGCACCCGACCCAACGCCCGAACCTGACGACGCCAGCGAGGGCCCAGGCTCGCCCACTCCGAGCTTTTCTCGACAGCGCGTGTCGACTCCCCTTTTTGACGGTATCCTCGACCCGCCTCCGTCGGCCTCGCCTGGAGCTCACTCGACCTCGAAGCTCACCGTCTATCCTCGTCTGACTCTGGTTGCTGAACTTCTCACCTTCAAGGATCCGTGGATGTGCACGGCGCTCAAGCTCATGGCCGACCTGCGAGGCGACTTCAATTTCTTCAGCCTGTTCGTCGCCGAGGAGATCCTTGCAGTGCCCGTCCGGCTGATGAAAGCATTGCACACCTACCTGCACACGACAGTCGCACCCAGCTTCGGCACTCACCTCGGCGTTGACGAGCTGTACCAGCGCTACTTCTGGGAGGCGGACCGACCGAGGAGGGTGCAAACTGAGTTCGAGAGCAAGCAGGAAAACATGCGGAAGGAGGCTCACGAGTTGGTCGACGAGCTCAAGGCGATCATAGAGCAGCTGGATGGCGCGGATGACCGTTGCGATGAGACATTGAAGAAGAGTCGAGGAGGTGGGGGGGTGCGAAGCGCGCCGGGAGGCCAGACGACGCCGATGACAACGCCCGTCCGACAGCGCGGTGCAGCCACAAACGCCATCCCTTTCGCAAAGGTATCGCCAATCACGCCTACCAAGACAAGTCTGCTCAAGGCGAGCGTCACGCCTTCCAAGAAGCGGCCGCTGCCCAACGAGGTACCCACGACCCCGAGCAAGATTCGCAACACGACCTCGACTGCCGCTGGCTTCTCTCGCGGCAAGCCTGCTGTGGTTGGACTATCCCCTGTCAACACCATCGCCACCACGGGTCCCAGCAACAGCGTCGTTCGCTCGCCTGCCATCAACGCAACCAACTCCACCACCAGCATGGTCCGCACAACTACCGCCGACTCTAACGGCAGCCACGGCGCCCGGAACGCTGAACAGCCTCGCACTACACAGAAGACCTTCCCCGTTTCAGTCGACGACGCCGAGTACAGGATCCCACTGTCGCCCACCTACTCCGAGCTCGCCGAGGCTGACGACGAAGAAGAAGAGGCAGAGCAGGTCGAGGGGCAGTATCCCGCCTGGCTGGACCCGCGCATCGAGTCGCACGTCATCCCCATCTCGTCCGACACGGTGGAGCAGCACGTCATCCAGGTCTCGTCTGATACCGAGGGCGGTCAGTAATCGCAACGCCTTCCCACCAACTCTTGGCGAAATACTCAGCGGGTCGCTCATCACTCTCAGATCAACACCTCGAGACCGCAGAGATCGTGCCCCCGCATCCCCCCGCGCAAAGCCACGTCGAGCTCGGCACTCGGCATCAAATCCTTCGTCACCACCTCACTCATCAGCTTCAATCAAGATCGCGCGGCGCGGCACAGACTCAATCCTCCCAATGTAACGGCGTAGACCGTACCAACATGCAAATGCAATTCCCCTTCATCCCATCGTGACATCTGTGCCCTTCTCGCGCGGTGGCTGATCGCACTCCGCCCACACATTCTTGCCCACACCATCGTCGAGAATGAGCAGCAGATGGTCCCTCGTACACGCCGCACCGATTACACTGACTTTCCCACTTTCCTCTTCTGATACCTTAGCCTTCAGCCTCGGATTCTCATCCAACCATGCCTGCCGCGGCGTTTTGGGCAACGTCCACCCTATCCTTGTTGGCGCCACCATCGGTTGTGTCGAGACGGATCGCGGGGGTATACCCCAGAGGAACACCTCGCCGTCTTCTGTTACAGCCACTAGATACTCCAGCCCGGCGAAGAGCGCCTGAACCTTGGGCAGGTCGATGAGCGTCAATCGCGCCCATTCGTCGGGATCGTCGACATTAGTGACGCCACGCGGACCATAACCGACCACCCACACCCTCCCCTCGCTGTCCAGCAGCGCCGCGAAAGATCCCCCGGCTACCAGCTTCCGCACCCCCAAAGCCCCGTCCGATGGCAGGGAATGGGAGGCGTACGCGGCGGGTAGAGGGTTCGGCACGAAGACAGGGGCGGCGATCCGATCGTGCACACCGGCAAACGTTTGGCCGTACTCGCTGTTGCCCCACGCCCAGATGCCGGTGGGAGTCAAGGCGTAGGACGTGTCTGCGCCGCAGACCACTTTGAGGATCCGTTCTGCGCCGGTCGGTGAGGATGCGGGTGTTTGTATGGCCTCTGTGCTGGCTGCCTCTGCTCCTCGTTGTTTCGCCTTCCCTGCGGCGGCTTTTGCACTGCCACTCGCTCCACCTGCTGCTGTCGATTCCGCTCTCTTTCCTGCTGTCGGCTGCAATGGTAGCGGAACAGCCTTGAAGCTGCGCGATAACAACGGCTCAATTGGCACTGCCTCTGCCTTTTCGCGCGGTGTCACCCCCAACTGACCATCCGTGTTCAACCCCGTCGAGCGCACCTCTTGCACCACGAACCCGCTCACTTCCCGCTCCAGCAGCAACAAACTATGATCCAGCCCCGCAGCGATGCTCTTGACCTCCCATTCGCCGTCCAAGTCGATCTGCTTGGGCAGGGGGAGCAATCGCAACTGGGCCGCCTCCGAATCCGGGAGTCTGGTCGACACATCCCACGGATCGAACTCGTTCCGTGTCGCCGGCTCGCGGGGGGAGCAGCCGAGTTGACCCAATGTATCGTTACCAAACCCAAAGGTATTCGATCCAGAGCCAGTGGCCGTGGTGACGAAAGAGAAGCCGGATCCGGCAGCAACGTGGGTGACGCCCCCGACGCCGTCGAGCGTACCGGTGACCATGCCGCGGGTCGCCTCTTGACTGCTGAATCCCAACCCTAGCTGGGCGTGCGTGTTGCGACCCAGAGCAAAGACTTTGCTTGGATGTCGACTGGTGGACGTCTTTCCCCCGGACTCCTCCAGGATCTCCCCCTCTCTTTCCTCATCCTTACCCTTACCGTTCCTCAACCCTCCCTCCCCCTCCTCCGGTCGGGCACCGTGCACAACAATCTCCTCCCCACTATCCCTCCCCCGCCTCACCCCCTCCAGCGGCGAGACAAGCACCTCGTACCCAAGCAGCACATGATTCACCCCACCGCTGGCGGCCACCCACCGCAGCCCATGATCCACATCCGCCGCCACGCCGGCAGCGTCCAACCATGCCCGTGGAAACTTGCTCAGCCGGCTGGCAGAGGTGTAGCCTAACACATCGCCAAGGTACAGCACGTGCTGGTATCGACTCGGCGCTGATCTGCTTATGAATCGTTTCGAGCGGGCGGATGAGGTGAGAAGCGAGGGTGGACAAGTCCGACTTGTCGAGGCTAGAGAGGTGCGTATTAGACCCATGACGGCGAGATGGGTTTGTTGTGCTTGTGTGGATGGTCGAGTCGGGCTGCGTTCAGGTGTCAAGTTGGGCGTGGGTCGTGGGATGGGTCTCGGCCGAAGCGGTGCTGCAATGATGCTTAGACGAGCCGGATGTGATGCACAGAGCGACGGGAGAACGAGCGGAGATGGGATGGAGACCAGTCAGCAATGAGATCGAGCGGAGTTGCGGATGAGATCCAACTGAGATAGGGATGGGATCGAGCCAAGATCGGTTCTGAGATCGAGCTGAGATGGAGCTCGGACGCAGCTGAGACGAAGCTAAGATGGAGCTGAGAGGCGGGTGAGACCGAGCTCGGATTCAACTGGAATCGAGCTGTAACAGAGTCGAAACGGCGCTGAGATCGAGCCGAGCTGCAATTGAGATCTATCTGCAATAGGAATGGACCTGAACGGCGCTGTGATGGAGCTCCAGATGTAGCTGAGAGGGAGCAGGACGGTGTAGAAGGTCAAAGGAGTGGGCTAAGAAGATCGTCGAGAAGCCTCCACTTGTCCTGCGCCAGGACCCTGGCCGATTTCCGAAGCATCACTTGGACGTTTCTTCGCGGCGCAGACGCACATCCTCACGGTTTCATTCGCACTCAGACAGCAACTTTCAAGCGTGCGACAGCTCAAGACGATACAAGTTTTCATTTGGTTTGCCATTTCAGATTGACCCTTTGTCAAGCCCAGAACGTTGGGAAGCAGGGAAAGGAGAGAACAGCAATATGGTGGCAAGGAGACGACCTTGTCCCTGTGTGAATTTTTGTGTTGAGGTGTCAAAGCCAGCCAGTCGTCATCCCATCAGCCCGCAATGAGTTCCTCCGGAGGTCTCGCCTATCAAGCCGAGGTAGCCGCAGCAGGGGTATCCTCGTCAGCGGCGCCGTTGGCACCACCGACGTTTGTCTGCTTCTGACGACGCTCCTTCTCGGTCTCGAGCTGGTTGTACAGCAGGAAGAGCGCCTTTTCGTTGGCCTCTGGCGTGCCCTGGATGGTGAACATGCGCTCGCCCGAGTCATCGTGCGGCACTTTGGCAATAGAAATCCGCGAACCGCTGAGACGGCGAATCTCGGTGATCTTGGAACCACCCTTGCCGATGATGCAGCCGACCATGTCGGAAGGGATCGAGATGTTCTGCGTGCGCAGGTTGTCGTCGTCGACCAGAGGTGGGGCCGAGGCGTTGGGCTCGCCGGCTTTGGCCGAGTTGGCAGTGGTGCCAGCGACAAGGCCTCCGCCGGGGGTGACGACGGCGTTGGGGTCGGTGCGGCGCGAGTTGTTGGTGGACAAAGCGGCGTTGTTGGTGTTGTTGGCTTCGCGGCGGTTGTTCTGCTGGTTGTTGTTGTTGAAGCTGCCGCCGTTGGTGTTGTTGGAGTTGAGGTTCATGTTGGACATGGCATTGGCGAGGTAAGCGGGACCACCCTGGCGGCGCGAGCCCTGCTGCTGGAGACCGCCCATACCGCCGGCAGCGAGGATGCCGGGACCCTCACCTTGACCGGGCTGGTAGAGGACGACGTTTTGCGATCGGTCCCAGTCCTCGGCGAGGCACTTTGCGATCTCGTGGATGGCGACGCGGATAGCCTCAACTGAGCCCTGCACCTCGACGACACGCTCGGTGGACTGAGGAAGCATCTCCTTGGAAGCGACCATGCGAGCGCCCGAGAGGTCCTGGATGTGCTTGATTTTGAGGCCCTGGCGACCGATGACGGTGCCCATGAGGTTGTGCGAGATGAGGAGGCGGACCGAGGTGGTTTGTGCAGCAGCCTCGGCGGGGGAGCCGTCAGCCTGGACGGGAGCGTTGAGAGGGTTCTCGAGGATGGTCTTTGCGATGAGCGCGAAAGCGTCAGAGATACCGACCAGGGTGCCCGTGACGGAGAGGACACGGTCGTGGACACCGGGGACGACCTTGGAGACGCCAGCCTTGACGCCGGTCTGCTCACGGAGCTGGGCGACGTTGGCACCACCCTTGCCGATGATGATACCGGCCTCCTTGGTGGAGACGAGAGCACGAACGAGGAGAGTAGCGTTGGGGTCGACGTTGGCACCCTCAGCGCTGTCGTCACCGGCGACGGGAACAGCGTCAGCGGCAGCAGGGGCGGGAGCGTCGACAGCGGGAGCGCTGGCGTCGAGCTTGTTTTCAACGACGGGAGTAGAAGACATTTTGAAGAGGTATGTAGGTGGTGTAAAAGGTCGAGATTGGTGTGATCGGCTTTCAAAGGGATGAAAAGCGTTGGAAAGGAGTAAGGAGGATGAAGTTGGTCGGGTTGAAAGGGGTGCAAAAGAAGGGGTTGAGGATCCTTTGCGGGCGGAGGAGAATGGCGGAAGGAGGTTGCTTGACGATGTGTGTGAGGTCGGAAGATGACAAAGAGGTGGTAGAGGTGATGACGATGACGGAGTCGACGGTGATGATGGAGATGATGGTCAGGACAGGATGAGGATGAGGTGTTTGCGCAGCTAGCTGCTGTGATTGACACTTTTTCTTCGCACACGCTCAAAAAATCTTAAAGGGATTCTTCCCGCAGAAAAAGTGACAGAGCAGAGGAAATTTTTCGGTACAGCGCAGCGCAGCGCGGTGGAGAACGCAGCGCAGATGAGATGGTCTGTTCGCTCCTGCTAAAGTCACATGGTGGGGACTGGCGAGAGGATTGCTATTGCTGAGCCATTGCAAGGGCTTGAATCTCACACAGCAAGTTAGGATCTTGCGGCAGTTGACAAAGCGTGCGGAACTCCTCAAGCCACCAACATTCGCCTTCTCGAGCCAAACGGCGGTGCAAATGTGTTCAGACTGTGGTCCCTCACTCGCGCAGAAGCACCATTTCAGACCAGAGGGTCGTTGCTCTGGGATCCACTTTCGGTCCGCTGCTAGCTTCACTGCTGACCATGAGTAGACAGAGTCCCTCGTTGTCGGCAAGCGGGATGGATGAGCCCTAACTCTACGATGAGAAAAAGTCATGTGCCGCAGGTTGGCTCCACCGCTCTTTGCTGCCATTCAAGGTGTGGGGCAAAGCAGATCTGGCCGATCCGCAATGGTGAGTTGGATGGAAACAGATCGGCGATGAGCTAAATTCCGTGCGAATTTCAAGCGAGACGCCCAAGCTGCGAACAGGCGTACCAAATGGTGAGCTGCAAGGCTGGCACGTTTTCCATGTCTGAATGTCTGAGTCTCAAAAAGATCATCTCGGCTCGTCGAAGCGGTCATCTGGAAGCATGGCAGAGATGCCCATGATCTGGCTCCTTGCTCGTTGCAGATGGTTTGCTCGCCACGCCTCTGATTGCTTGAACACCGACTCTTGCATCAGATCGGCGAGCCTGAAGTCATGGTACCCAAGCTGAAGGAGTCAAGAGCAGAGCACGCCGCTGCCTGATCCAAGTCGTCATGAGCCTAAATTCTAAAGAGCTCGCATCTGCACTAGATTCCAGAAATTGGGCCTGCATGAGGCAGCAGCAGCAGCAACCCACCGAATCAATCTCCACCTCGCTTTCTGCCTCGCTCCGCTCAGACCGGCAACTTTCCATCTGTCCCACCTCGTCTTCCTTCTTCCATCACCGCAATCCGTGTCCCTTCATCGTCCTCGTCGTTCTTCCCTCGGGCGTCCGGTGCTCCTGCATCCTACTGCACTCCTTTGGCTCACCCACACCCGCTGCCCTACCTCCTCGGCTACGACGTCTCTCCCTGCAATGTCAACACAGACCTCCTCGCGTCAGGCGGCCAACTCGCTTTCCGATCCACCCGAGCAGGGCACGCTCTCCTATGCCTACCGACGATCTGTAGTCGCACTTCAGAGCGTGTTCGGCGGCAGCAAGGATTCGCAATACGCTGAACGAGAGCCTTTGCTCAACAACCAGCAGAACGACAACACTGATGCCTCCGGATCCAATGGCTACGGCGCCGTCGCCTCCTCCTCGAACGCAGAGTCGTCACGTCCTCGCATCCGCAAGCCCAAGAAGGTGGTCTCGCAAAGCAAGGTCGAGGCCAAGGTGTGGTTCGCCAACGAGCGTACCTGGATCTCGTGGCTGCGTGTTTCCATCCTGATCGGATCGTTTGCTCTGGCGCTGTTCAACTCGGATACTTTCTTCAAGCACCACAACGACTCGCATCCTGGTCACCGCGACAACTACCTCACCTCGGGCTCCATCAAGGCATTCGGTGCTGCCTACGCCGGTATCGCTGTGCTGACGCTGCTGTGGGGCCTGTACAGCTACCAACGACGTGTGACGCTCATCAAGACCAAATACCCGGGCAACTTTGACGATCTCATCGGCCCACCTCTCATCTGCGCTGCCCTGTTCATCGCTGTGCTGCTCAACTTTATCATCCGAGTCAAGCAGCGTGACTACGAGTCGCATCACTGAGGCAGTCGTCGCACTTTGCGGATTGGTCTGGTCTCCCACGCTTGTAGGACCACGCCTCCAGACGAGCCCGCTTTGCTTTCAAGCGTTGTTGGCGATACCTTGTCGCAACCGAGTGCAAGGCTCCTGTTCTCTACACAGTAATGTCTCATAATCTCACAGTATATTCAGAACGCTGCTTCTCTTTCGTGTCTTGTGCCGTGGGATGGAACCAGAATCGGCTCCCTCGCCCTCCTCACCAGTCTACAGCAGATGACGCACTAGCTAGGACAATGTTTCCTTGAACAACAGCTTCCATCGCCGTCCAGCTTGAGCTATACCGACAAGAGAGGAATGGCTTGCGCTATCAAGTTGCTTCTGTGTCGCGATACAAGTGGGCATCAAAGTCACAGTCGACAGCCGAGCCTCGACGCTCAAGCACAGCTCTGCCGCGTGACCACTCAAACCTTGAAATCCACCTCAGAATTATTGTCCCGCTTTTTTGTTGGCTGCGAATTTGAATGGCAAAATCCTACGCTTTTCCCGCTGTATCGACGAAGCTTATCGTGACGCCGGCTTCTTTGAATTCAGCACGGGCTTGGCTTTGCGTCGACAGTTGGCTCTTCTTGTCTTTGTGCGTCGCCCGTCTCCAGCCAGAAGGAAGAACTCAATGTCAGGGTCCAACCACCTCTCTCTCCCCACCATCCTTCTTCGATTCAACCTTTCCACCTCGTCCGTCGAACATCCAGCCTGTCATTCCACCTGGAGCTCCTGGTCGCTACCATCAGCTTGCGCGCAGGTCGCATCGGGCAATCGAAGCGAGACAGATCCGCCCCGTCGTTTTGCGTCTGCACAGGGCTTCAAGAACATCGCAGCCGTTCAACGAAATCATCGCTGCTCGTTCCTCAGCAGTCCACAGAAGGCATTCGAAGCTGCCGCTCCCTGATCCATCTTCATGCTGCTGTCGACAATCGAGGATAGCAGCCTATTGCATCGTCGCTAGCAATCATTGCACTTAGCAAAGCGCGCTCCATTCATCGCACTTGCCCATCGCGTGGACACGGCACTCACAGATCGCAATACTCCGACGTTAGCAGCAACAGCATAGCCCTCTGCTCTTGGTGACATCGCCTTAGAACATTGCCTTTCTTCTGAGTTCCCCTGTCGACCAAGCGACAGCCCCGAGCCGATCCCGTACACCATGTCGTACCATCCCTCGCACGCTGGTGCGCATCACACCAACTTGTTCGGCGCTGGCTTGCCCATCAACTACACGCACAATCACAATGCCATTGCTTCACCCAGCACCAACGCGTCACTCTTGGCAACCAATCTCTCGTCCCACTCATTTCCCATGGCTCCCTCGCCAAACAATGGTACGCCACAGCCGCAACAGCATCAGCAGCAGCAACAGCAACAGCAACAGCAACAGCAGCAACAAGCGGCTGTGGTCGCCGCGCAACAACAACAACAACAGCAGCAGCAGCAGCAGCAGCAGCAACCTTCGAGTTCCTCAGCGCCACCAGGCGTGCCTGATCACGAGGGCCTCATCGCTCCGCCCTCCATGCCCCTCGAGCTCGACTTTGACAACCTCGAAAAGGCTTCCAATTACATCCATACCTATGCTCTCTCCCAAGGCTTTGACATTCGCATCCAGTGGTCAGCCAACAATCAGACTCGAATTTGCTGGTCGTGCTATCGCGGTGGCTTCCCTGAGACTCTCAATGCGGATGGGACCCCTAACACCAAAAAGCGACAGATACCCAAGGAGAAGGAGAGACGCAAACGTGGCTCGCTCAAGATCGGATGCCCCTTCCGCGTCCAATGCACAAAGAACTGGAAGACGGGCAAGATGGAGCTGCGTATCCTCGAGGGGCGACACAAGCACCAGATGGAGACGGATCGCGGCAACTTGCCAAGTCAAGTACGAAGAATCAAGAGCGAACGCAAGGCTCACGACTCGCCGGGTACCCCGCAGACGGGCAACGCAGCTGCGAACGCTGTAGCTCAGGCAGCCAACTTGACGTCCACACCCACACCCGTGCCCTCCGGAAGTGGTAGCAGCTTGCAGACGGGAGCCAAAGGTAGAGCAAGCGCGGCGTCCAAGAATGGGACCGCGAATCGCAACGGGACCGCCAACGCCCAGCAGCGGAACCAATCACAGCAGCAACAGCAAGCGCAACAGCAACAGCCAACAGACCAAACCTCTTCCGCAAATGCGAACCTTCTTGTCAACGCTGCAGCACCCTCAGCGCATCAGCAGCTCAGTCTGCTCGGAACACCAACCCCGTCCAACGGAGCCGGACCCTCCTTTGATTTGGACCTGGACGACGTCTTGACCGCCTCGGCCTCTCCTGCGCCTCAGATCGACTTCCAGCGCCAGATGCTCCAGCTGCTCGGCCTCTACGACCGCTCCGACGCCGCCTCTCGGGCCATCATGGACCGAGAGCTCGTGGCCATGTTTGAAGGTGCTCAGGCGCGTTTGGGTGACAAGACGGGACGCAAGAAGCGCAAAATGGGTCCCAACGGCACTGTGCTTGATCCTGCGTCCTCCGGAATGGCCGCCTTTGGTACAGGAACCCCGGCGATTCCGAGCCAGAGCAATGGCTCGATAGCAGCATTAGCGAGGTCAGCGTGGAACGGCAGTGTCGCTTCGAGTGCAGCAGTCACGACCAACCCAGCTATGACGCAGGTGAACGGTAGTGGTTCGCCGTTGAGAGCAGCAGCCGGTAGCATCGGCACAAATGTCCCACAGACGCCACTGGGCCAGCTGGCAAGTCAGCAGCAGCAGCCAATCCCGCCAAGCTCAGGTAAAGGGTCGGCGAGGTGCAGCAACTGCAAGGAGTACGGGCACAATCGGCGACGATGTCCGCTGGGTTGAGACGTCGCCTTCTGTGACTGCCCTCCTGCCGATCCGAGCTCATGGCACGGCTCACGGGCGGATCGAGATTGCAATGGACAAGCTCCTTTCTTCGACAATGCGTGCTAGACGCTAGTGCTGCAGCCTCGAGAGTGTGCCTGATATGAAACTGAGCAGTGAGAGTGTCGCGGTTGCGGTGACTGGATCGGCTGGGTGGAATCTGAAATCGGGATTCTACGTTGAATTTGGAGCTTTCTTCGCGTGCACGGACGGGGATATGCTGCAGCATCCTGTCGCTTTCCCTCCTTGCTCATTCCACCATATCCGGTCACCATCAGCAACTTCTCCGTCCTCAAGCTCAACTGTTCTTGCGTGGCGACATCTCACGATGGCGGAAAAGTTCTCCAAGTTCCGAGACCCAGGCACGGGTATCCAAGTCTTCCTCACGCCGGTCGCTGCATCGACGTCCTCCTCCGCTTCCGGCTCAGCAGGCTCGCCAGGCGGAATCGCCCTCCTCCTCACACCGATCTTTGTCGTGCTCGGTCTCATTCGCGCGCTCATCGGTGGGATATGCTGGGGCCTCTACCTGGCAACTGGCGGCGCTGGGCTGTTGAGGGTGGTGTTGTTCATGCTGGGATTCATCAGATTGCCCGTCGACGAGGTGGCTTCTGGAGCGAGTGGCAGGCGGTCCGTGTCGGGATCGAAGCTCAGACCTACAAGCGCAGCGAAGAGAACGCTGGGGAAAGGGGATTTGGTGCTGTCGAACCACAGCTCCTGGCTCGACCTGCTTATCATCTCGTACCTGTATCCTGGGATTCAATTCGTTCTACCGGTGATCGCGGACAGCGCCAAGGTGGAAGCGAAGCGGTCGGAGGACTCGAGCACAACGACGGCGCGTAAGACGCCCAAGAAGAACGCCATGTCGGCCAACACGCGCATTGTCACGCCTTCCTCCGCCTCGTCGACGGCGGCGAGCAACGAGATTCCCATCGTTGGGTATGCTGCTCTCGGCCTCACCCGAGCGCTCCGATTCGTTGGCGGTCTACCACCATGCGCATCACAGTTATCGAGCAGCGTTGTGGAAAAGGACCTCGAGACGACGCTGCGCAAAGCCGATACACCGCTCGCATTGTTCCCCGAGGTCGTCACGTCCAACAATCGCGCCTTGCTCGCCTTCAACATCCTCCCACAAAACCCACCACCTTCCATCTCATCAATACACATTCTGACGCTCAAATACACCCTACCGTCATCAACAAGCACATCGTCGGTATACGCCGTTCCCGGCCCGACCAATTCGCTCACCACGCACCTGCTGCACATCCTCTTCCTGTCCAACCCAGTCCGCGGCGTCAGCATCAGACACTCGACGCTATCGAGCAAGGACGAAGGCGAGGGAGGTTGGGCGGAGAAGGTCGCAGGCTTGATGAGCAGCATGGCGAGGTTGAAGCGGACGAGCATCGGTTGGGAGGCCAAGAGGGAATTCTTGCAGATGGTCGTGGCGCGGGGAAAGCGCGTGTGATGGCCGCGACCGTACGCCATCGTACTTTGGCAAGCACATGGCTTTGCGCTTCGCTGTGAGACGGCTCGCGAACTGCTTGTCACACGGAAGGAGTGGAAATGGATGTATAGATGATTTGCGATGGATGCGAATGGACAGAGAAAGCGACTGTTGTGACGATACGAAATCCTTCCGAACCGAGCCTGCGGCTCATTGCTTGTCCTTGTGCTGCTGTTGCTGCTGCTTGTGGGACTCGTCCTTGTGCTGTTCTTCCTTCTCGTGCTGCTCCTCCTTGGGCTTGTCGGCCACCTTCTTCTGCTGCTCCTTCTTGGGCGGCGTCTTCTCCTCGTGCTTTTGCGCTACGGACTCCAACACCTTGCCCACCTTGTCCGCCTTGACCTGCTTGACCTCTTGCACCTCCTCCACAGGCACCTCCTCGGCCTCCTCGGCACTCACCACCTCCTCGACCTTGTCCTCGGCCCTCCACGCATCCTTGGGCGCATAGTCGTTCAACCCGGTCCGCCCACTGCAGCTGAGATTGTTCCTCCACGCGTCGACCCTCCTCCCCATCCAACCCGTTGTCAACCCGTCATTCGTCCGTGGCTTTGTCACGCCGATCCTGAGAAAATCTTCGCCTAACCTGCACTGGCCCATGCCCTCCTTCTCCTTCCACTCCCACATCATGCATCCTTCGTTCGACCGACACTTTGCCAGGCAATCCAACGCGTTCTTGGTGCTAACCACCCTGGTGTCGTCATCGTCCTCGAACGCCTTCCACCCCACCACGCCCACTTCTCCCGGCGCCACCTCATCTAGTGGCAGAACGATCTCCGGATCGTGCTCCGCCGCCTCCTTCAACGCCTTTCGCAAAAACAACGGAATGAATTCATCCCACACATCGCACCATCGCACCGTATCGTTGACCCCCAGGCGCGGCTCGATGCGGCGTTGAAAATCGTACAGATGCGCCGTATCGCTTGGGGTCACATGGTGAAAGGTGAGAACAGGACGACACCATAGGCCGTCGGTGAACTTGACACTTCGGGGCGTGTCCGTGTTGAACCGTTCGCCCGATTCGGGGCTGAGATCGGTGAGGTTGACCCCTGGGGCGTCGTAGAGGGCTTTGGTGAGCAGTGCATCCCCGAACGCGGCGTGTTGGGTGAGGTTATCGTGATTGTGCTCGAATTCGGGGTCAACACCGTAGGATGCTTCCATCACAGCACGGGAGAGAACGAATCCACTCCCCCCATGCATAAAGGGAGTGGATTTGCGATCGTCGAAATCACAAAACATCGGTCGACCCAACATGTACTGCTGATCCGGATCGAACGTCGAAAGCCATTTGACCAGTTCGTTCCAGAACAGGAACGTGTCGGCTTCCACCATGACATACCATTTCTTGCCGGGGAAACGACGGTACGCCTCGCCCATCATGGGAAGGAATTTGTACTTGTCCAACTTCCACCCTCCATCCTTGTCGGACATGAGATCGAGGTCTTGGTTGGATTCCATCAGTGCACGAAGTTCCCCCCGTAGAGCACTGAACTCTTCGATGGAGGAGAGCGTGGAGGAGACGTTGGAGAGGGCATCGTAGAACGTGATGTTTCCTAGCGTCAACGGGTAATCGGAGACGTAGAGGCGGTTGGGAGCGTAGATGTTGGAATGGGGTTGTTCGGCGAGGTGGATGAGGAGTCGTTTGTGAACCGTGGCAGAACCGACTTTGGTGATGAGAACCATATCGTCCTCTAACCGATACGGCGGGGGGACTTCTGCCAGGGTGATGTTGGGCTCGATAGGAGCGACCTCGATGGGGGAGGGGGTGAGAGGATGGGTTACTTTCCCTATCACCGACTTGACCCGCGAACTGTCCAGCTCGCTACGCGAGACGACCATCCATCCCACCACCAGACATGCGAAGATCAGAATCACATTCCGCCCTTTGCGGAAAAGGACCACCATCGCATCCCTCGCGTTGCTGCTTCGGCGGGATCCGGTGAAGCTGTTGTGCGAGGGCAGCGCAGGTCGATGTGTGCGTGAAGTGGACTTTTCGCTAAGCGGGTACGGCTGGTCGCTCGGATATGCGGTTGGGGAGACGGACGAGGAGGAGGAGGGCGTTGGTGGGTGAGAGGGGATCGAGACGTAGCGTGTGTGCGAGGTGGCGACCATCGTCCCGGCGGGCGAAGCGGGTTTTGGTTCGAGTCGACCCAGAGCGCTATCCAGTACGATCTCCGAGGAAAGGCGGAGAGGAGATGGATGTCTTGTCGAAGGGTCGATGGTGATGGTGATGATGGAGGCAGAGGTGGAAACAAGGACGACGGAAAGCAAGCACACAAACGAGAAACTCGCGAGCAGATAGGCGCCTACTTCATGCAGCCGTTCAACCCTCTCGGTACCACCCCACCCACCTCATCACCTTCTCATCTCCGCTCAAGACCCTTTCACCCTTGACGAGTCGCCCTGACTACTTCGCATCCCACACCCGCGAGCGCGCGATGCCACACCCTTGCCAGCGCTTGAGGGTCCCATGCACCGCGGTACGGGTCCTGCAGGTCGTGCCAAGCTGTCGTTGAATTCTTAAAAATTCCAGACACGGGACGGGGGCGCCGTAGGCCGAAGCGTGAACCCTCGTGGCAAATAGGACGCGGGAAGAGGGAGCGTGTTCGGTCGGGTCCACGTTGTGAAGTGGCACAGGGCCCAGCCCCTTTTCCGGTTCGTGCTCCCCACCTCATCCACCGTTTCGCCCGCTGTCATCGGACTAGCGACAGCATGACGTAGAAGGATGATCAAGCTGGGTGAACAAGACACGCACAGCAGCATACATTGCTGGCAGAACTAGATGCACAAGGTATGCACAGCTGCAAACCTCGCCGAGAGCCCAGACACAAAGGAGGCCACGGTACAGCGAGGTCAAAGCGAGAGGACAATGGAGAGAGGGCGCTGCAAATCCGACGTTACGTTGAAGGAGGCCTAACATCTCGCAAAGATGAAGGAGTTGCGTTCACACCTCTTTCCCCCCTCAGCTAGCGACAGTGTGCGATACGACGCCCCCTCGGCCGGTCTCGTCGGAGCTAGTGGCGCTGCTCGGCGTGAGTAAGGTCAAGCCTCGGACGCGATTCATGAGATCGTGTGCGCACAGTGCAGCTCTTCGAGGCTCGACGTTGTGTGCGGCAGTGAAAACCGCAAATGGGCCCCAAAAAGGTGGATTCAAAATCCAAGACTCAACCCCTCACGTTTCTACGATACACCGACCTCACAAACGCTGTTACTATGACGGGACTGTTCATTTCATTCCATTGCCAATGTCGAGCCTACATTAGTCCGATGCTGATTCTGCTGGTGCTGACGGAGCCTCCTCGCCTGTATCTTTCCCCTTGCCCTTCAGAGCCGCCCGCTTGGCCGCCAAAGCCTGATTCCTCGGCGACTTGGCAAACATGGTCCGCTGCGCATTAAAGTGCGCCTGCGACCGTGCCAGCTCCTCGACCAGCATGCTCAGCGCCGTCAACGAGGCCGGGTCCCAGCTTGCGGGGAGGACGGATTTGGGCAGCGCACGAGTCTTGTTGGTGAGCCGGTGCGAGATCCTGCGGTGAACGGCGGTGGAAAGGGCGTCGTGGGGGAGGTGGGAGGTGTGGTGCGCTTGTGAATGGGGGTTCGATACGAATCTGGAAGGAGAAGCGATGGTGGAGGGTTCTTCGTCCGGGGAAGACGCCCATTGGTACGATGATGAGTCGTCATCCTCATCCTCGTTTGCTTGGTCGTTGTTCGAGGAGGTGCTCGATGTGGGTGCCTCCTTGACAAGCCGCTGCAAATCGTCGTACAGCTTGACCCACCTCTCGTCGTGAGCAGGCGCATCGACTAGATCCTTGTCCAGCAGCGCCTTCTCGACCAGCTGCTGCGCCGCTCCCGGCAGTTTTCTAGTGTAACCTGGGAGCATGTTGACAGCAAACGACTTGCTGTCCGCCTTCGCGCCCACCCCGCCATCCTCCAAATTTGTCCGAGTGGACCCAATCGGCTGTACCTGCGATTTCGGCCGCTTCTTGCTCGAAGCGCCTTCCTGCTGAGCCCTCCGCTTGGTCTTCGACCCCTTCGGACGGCCGCGCGGCCTCGGTACCTCGCTCATTGTGGCACCGCACCCGAACTCGAGCGCGTCTGCTGGTTGAGCACGCGCTGCAACAAATTCGTCAATACTTCAGCGCGCTGTGCCGACCCAAGCCCCATGAACACCTCTGCAACGCTCTTTCCCTTTGCGTCCCTGATCCTGCCCAACTGGCTTCCTGCAAAAGCACCAGCGAGAGCACCCGGGATGTTACCCACAATGAACCCGAGCGCAGTACCCGATGCGCCACCGACAAACTTCCAAATGGGCGCGACCCTCTGCACTTCCGGCCTCAGCAGCTCCTCAAAGACGTCGGCAAAGACGCCGTCTGCCTGGGGCTGGCTGCTTCCCGCACGACGACGGTCCTCGTTGGTCTGAGTATCGTTGGTCTCCTCCTCCTTGAACGCGCCGGGAAAGAAGCTCTGGAAGAAGTTGGCAGAGTAGCTCTGCTCCTTCTCGCTGAATTCGGAAGCTGCTTCTTCGTCCTCGTCGTACGATGCGCCGCCGAAAAAGCTGTCGTTGGATGGACGAGAGTTGCGCAGCTGGTCGTACTCCCGACGTCGATCGGTGTCCGAGAGCACGTAGTAGGCGTCGGCGAGCGTTTGAAACTTCTGCGTGTAGCGTTGGCGCTCAGCGGGAGTCGCGTTGGGGAAGCGATCCGGGTGGGTCTTGAGAGAGCGCCGCTTGTAGGCCTCCTTGATCTCGGCTGGCGTCGAGCTGGGCGTGACACCTAGCGTTCGGTAGTAGTCGGGAAGGGGGGCGTCCATGCTCGGGGTTTGTGCTTGTGTGAGCTAGCGGGCGGTAATGAATGTGAGAGCTCGGTGTGTGAGACTAGGCTGGAACTCGGATCAGGCGGTCGCGATGATGTTGACAGGTGGCGGTAGGATGGATAGAGGGAGGATGAAGACGGCAAGGGTTCTTCAACGGCTTGAGTCGGCCCGTGTAACCGCGGACAGCAGGGAAGAGCTGGAAAGCAACTCCACGTCACGGTAGCGAGGTGAAAGAGACAGCCGCCACCTCCAGACTCCAAAATGTCGTCACCGACAACAGACTCAGCCAAAGCTCTCAGGGTCCAGAAATGTTGAGCTCAATGCGTTTTGGCACGTGAAATGCTGAATCAGGCTGAGTCATGTCCCAATTTTTTCCCTGTGGCCAATATCGCCGATGATCTGCTGTGGAATCACCGATTGCATCGCTCTCATGAGGGACTGCGGTGTCGATGAAAACAGATGACGATTCTCGTGGGTCTTCCTCGTCTCTCGGATCTGAGGAGTGATTTGCAGAAACTCGACCTTCCGGGGCAGCTTTCAACCATGGTTAACGATTTGACGGACCGCAGTTGAGCACGGAGTATGATTCTTGCTTGTGTTTCACTGTTGTCTGGTCAGGTCATTCAAAGCTGTCGATCTCAGGGGCACAAGCGAAAGAAGGATCTATTACACATGCGTGTCCCCTCTGCGGCTACAGAAGCTCGAGGAGAGCCAACATAGAGGAGCCGCCGGAAGCAAAGAAAGAGACCGGTCGCGGAGAAAGGGGCAACGCGGCAGACTGACAGCTCGGGTAGAAGCGACTTTGTCCTAGCCTTGAGATACCGAGTATGTTGTTCTCCGCTGAATGCCTGACGTGGCTGTTTTGCTTATCAGTGGACGCGAAGAGCGAGACAAGCGTCGAGTCAAGAGGGAGCTCGCACCTGTCTATAGAATGCCGTTGATAGGGGTCGAAGGCCATGCGAGAGCTCGGTCACTTTCTGCTTCCATGCATCGACCTTGCGACCTTCTTGGACGGTGAGAAGACGCCATCGGATGCGCAAGGCAGATCCTGACCTTTCAGCGCTGATGCATACGGCTGGAAGAGTGTAGAGAATGGCAGAGCATGGACAGGCTGCGTGGTGCCGACTAGCTCGGAGATCCTCTCCATTGTCATCAGCTTTCCTTTCATCAGCGTTCCGCTCACGTTGTGGCGTCAGACCTCGCCGGCATGGCAGCTTTGTATAGAATCTAAGGTTCAGGCACCGACGGCCGCACATGTGCCACCGGACGTAGCGAGCTCTTGTCGAATCCTTCTACATTCGCTTGCTGGACGGCATGTGGTACAGCAGGGGCCGGCAACGACTTAAGCGCTCGCTCGAGCCCCAACTCCGCCTGCACTGGCCGGGCGGAAGCCATACTTGTTGAGTCACTCGATCCTGCCCTAAGGAGATCGTGCACGTCGACCGCCTACTGGAAAATCACGGCCAGGGGATCACAACACAGGGCTGAGAGACTCTCGAGCTCGTGTGTGTGGACGGTGCTACACATGCTTGACCAACAACCACTGGCTCCCGCTCGGAACAGAAGGGCTACAAGGGGCCCACTGCAATACCGGAACAATCAAGAAGGCCGAGGCATCAGAGGAAACGCTGTGCTGGCGAGGCGAGGCATTGTTGACCGCGCGCTGTCTGATGCCGCCGCCGTGCATTCCGCCGGCCCGCAGTCTCGCTTGCCTTTCGCGAATTTGAATGTTGTTTTCATGCTCGTGGGGTGCGACTGTGCGGTGGGCTGCCCTGTTTTTTTTTTCTTCCTTCGCGTGAAATTTCAGCTGCACCGCCCCTCGGGTTTCCGATGATCAACGACAGCGAAAACCCTCCAACGCGCGCGCACACGATGCAGGAGCAGCACAGCGCAGCAGAGCCACTCAAAACATCAGTGCCGCTCTCCAAACGGCGGCTGCACTCGGTGTGGCAATCTCTTTGTATGCAGGCCACCCGCCGATTCGCACTTTTGCGGCAGTCTCTTGGTCTTCGATGTTGTTCTTCTGAGACACACTCACACTGGCCAACTGGCCTTCGCTCGGCTTGCTCGCCAAACCCTGAACCAAATCTCGGCGCGATCTTCACTCCTGTCAAGTTGAGCTTCGCTGTTCCGCAACCTCTGCTGCCCGCCTCGGTGTTGTTCTTCCAAATCGCTCGTCCTGCGTGTGTGCGTGTGGGAGGCTCCGTGTGCACTCGGCTGACCTCAACACAGTTTGCACCTTGATTCGGCGCTAGCAACGCAGAGATCGCTCTCAGATCCCCTCGGCTCGCCCTTTGTGTGAACGAGCGGGCGGTCTCGTTTCGGACACCGCCCTTGCTGCCGCCGGCTCTCTTTCCCTCCCCTGCCGCTATGGCCCCGCGGTTGACTGGATCCGTTGCTCCGCCCCTCCCTTCAAAAGCCTCGCGACAGTCAACGCAGAACAGCTTCGCGCTCCCCTTTTCCCTCTCCTTGTCTTCTCTCCATCACCCATCCTCACCGTCGACACGACCGACCACCACCACCCCTTCCTTTCATCTTCTTCTTCATACACAGCAATGTTCTTCTCCAAGTCCGCCTTGCTGGGCGTCACTGCCCTCGCGGCTGCCACTGCTGTCTCGGCGCAGTCGGTGCCCGCCTTCACGTACGGCACGGCCAACGCCGACTACCCTGGTGTCAAGTCGACCAACAAGAACGGTCCCACCAACCCTTCGAACCCCCAGCTCAACACGGCCATCAACCAGACCTCGCTCTCGCGCCTTGCGTCGATCAACTCGATCGATGACTGGTGCACTTTCGGTCCCCCTGGCACTGGTCAGCCCCTTGCCGACGTCGAGGAGATCACTGTGGCCTACTGCACCAAGCCGCGAAACAATGCGCGTGTCATCCCAGACGGCTCGGTGACCGGCGCGCACTTTGTCAAGACCCCGCTCTACGTCCAGCTCATGGCGGTCGGCGACTTCACCAGCATCGGCTTCATGGCTGGCGACGAGGGTGGAGAGCTCGACCCGCACGGAGCCACCAACATGGGCAACCCTGTGGGTGGCAACGTCACCTCGAATGTCTCGGGTGAGGACGTTTTCTACGAGGAGTGGATGAACTACGCCTCTGCGAACCAGATTTGCTTCCGTGTGTGCATTGCCGGATCTGACGTGGCCCCCACCGCTCTCGAGTGCCAGCACACGCTCGATGTGATGGGCTGCAACTTTGTCATGCCAGGCAACTACAACGACGACGTGTTCGAGACGTGCGATGGTGATTCGGCCTACCCCCCTGGTCTCTACCCCGAGGGCAACGGTCAGACTTCGACGTTCGTGCAGTTCTTCACGGGTGTCTACACTGCTGGTGGCACCGTTTACTCGTACACCAACGGCTCGCCGGATGAGGTCACTCCCACTGCTGCCTACTCGACGCCCAGCACGTCCAACTGCCAGACCACCAACACCATCTCGAACGGCATCAAGTCGCTCGTCTCGTCGTCTACCACCACCTCGTCGTCGTCCGCGGCCAAGAGCACCTCGAAATCGGCTGCCTCATCGTCGTCGTCCGGCAGTAGCTCCAGCTCGGGCTCGTCCAACTCGGGTAGCTCCAACTCCGGCAGCTCCTCGTCCGGCAACAGCGGCAGCTCGTCCTCCGCAGCTTCGTCCACCAGCGGCGCTACCAAGCTCGTCAACAGCGCCTCGGGTGCCGTGCTCGCCTTCGCCGTCGTCATGGCCGGCGCCATGATGCTCTAAGCGTATTGCAAGCCGTGTTTCGCTGAACAATACCTCTTTGACCGGTTTCCCTCTTTCAGGAGATCTTCTCGCCGCTCCAACTTGTCCGTACCTACACTCATTAGCTCGTTTTCCCCCTCTCGTCAGGTCTCTCTTGTGATCCGGACGGAATAGCATACCTACAACACTGTCTCCTCCGTCGTGTTTAAGTCTGTGATGTTTCAGCTTGCATTCGAGTACTTCTAATGATGACAGAGCACGGTCGGAAGCGGCCTTGTCATGCAGGGAGTGGAAAAAGAGCATATACTGCGCTGTGCTCGACAGCTGTTTTCCTGGTAGCGCGGCGCTGTCCCGTCTTTTTTTCGGATGTCGGCGTCGGCTCTCTCCACATTCTCGACGTCTTCCGGATCTTCCTGTCGTGCTCTCTGACTTGATCACCAACCCATCGATCGACGCACGGAACACCCAATCAAGGGGTCACGAGGAATACAAGCTGCTGTGCAGGACCTCAGATGCGGAGCTGAGCTGGGCGAGAAGGGCAACATCTGTCTCTGATCGACAGGAGGAGCCTGAGGCTGTTGCTTCCGTGTGGCCGACACCTACACACAGCTTCCTCATCAAAGCGGCTGGCTTCGCATTCAGACGGACGCGCTCAAAGGCCAGCCAAAACACTCAGTCACATCATGTCGTCGTCAATAGGCATGCTCAGGATACGTGCGGGTCCCGGCCTTCGGCGGTCATCGCCGGGGTACCCCATTGTCTGCACTCAAAATGGCCGATCTCTAAGATTGCCCTTTCTACCACCTACCTCCGTTCGATCAGTAGCATCTTCGTCATCCTCTTCTTCACCTCAAGCCTACGTCTCGCTCTCCACTAACCCGTGGTTCAACCTCGCCTTTGAAGACCACCTCTTTCGCACCATCGAGCCTTCAATACCCGTCTGCTTCCTGTACCGCAACTCTCCGTGTGTGGTTGTGGGACGCAATCAGAACCCGTGGAAGGAGCTCAACGCAGCATCTATGCGGTCACTTTCCCTGCCGATGGTGCGTCGTCGATCCGGTGGAGGCACGGTGTATCACGATTTGGGCAACACCAACTACTCGTTCCACATTCCTCGCGAGGCCTTTGATCGGCGCACACACGCCGAGCTCGTCGCGCGCGCGCTCAATTCTCCACCTATCTCCCTACAACAGTCTCGCTCGACGCTGGCTCGAGGGGATACAGGAGCATACGTCAATGGTCGGAATGACATTTGCATCCGCGTCATGGGCGGGTTTGATCGGCGGTCGACCCCCAAAACACGCTCGGAGGCGGACGAAGGGGGGTTCGAGGAGAGAAAGGTCTCCGGGAGCGCGTATAAGCTGGTCAACAAGCGCGCGTATCATCATGGCACCATGCTGCTCTCTGCCAGCCTAGGAAGTCTAGGTAGCTCGCTGAGGAATGACAGGGGCGAGCTGCTGGTGACCAAAGGAGTCGCATCGGTGCCCGCACCAGTGGCCAACCTCACAGACGCTTTCCCGGACCGAAAGGCGATGCTCGAGCACCAAGGGTTCGTTCAGGCTGTTGTGGCTGAGTTTCACCGCACCTATCCAGGCGACGAATCAAAAGGGAAGACAGAGGTGGACGAGGGGTGGTTGGACAAGCCCGAGCTGAACGAAGGGAGGTGGAAGTTGCGGGAGAACTTTGAGGAGCTGCAGAGCTGGGGATGGGTGTTTGGTCAGACACCCGAGTTCACGCATCGGGTTGAGATGCATGATTCCAGCGAAGTGGATGCAAGCTCGACAGGCGAGGGAGGATGGGGGACGTTTGCAGTGGAAGTGCATTCGAAGGAAGGGATCGTGCTGGATGCCAAGCTGGTCGATGCCAGGTTCGATAATGCGGAAGTGGAAAGGAGGGTGAGAGCGGTGGTACAGGACTTGAAGGGGAGGAGGTACGACGAGCTGGCGCTGCCACCACCGTGGGGGCCGGCGTCGTCGACAGCAACATCAGTAGCAGGCATAGACAAGGCGACCAGCATCGAGGACAAGCTCTTGCACTGGCTTCGGACGGTGTTGTAGCACGTAGCATCATAGATCACAGCGTCAGATCACGCACATCGAAAGCAGAAATGGTGTTCCCAGCCTCTGACGGCGTGTTAGCAAGACATTGAAGATCGTTTGCCATGCACGTTGGATGCTCGACGGCTGGGTCACTTTGGTCGACAGGCGCCGTAGATCAAGCAAGGGTGTCTCGAAACAGGACCCTCGAATTCCCCTAGGCTGCGCTGTTGCCCTGAGACCAACACCAGCATTTTCGGTCCTTCCATTGCTGCGCTGTCACCTTTCCCACGCACAGTTCCTCTCGCTCCGGATGGACCGCCTTTGATCGGCATGTCCCGACCGATCGGATCCTGCCGTGATGGTCCAGTCGGCTGCATCTAACGGAAGAGCCTTCCCTTTGCGAGGTCTGATCCTCAGAAAGCGTTGCAGCTAGCCACACAAGAGAGGGGATCGGCAGCCTCGCTAAATTTTTAGAATCAAGGGGCTCGGCGTAAAGATGCATGGCACCGCTCTGATGCTTCCCTTGCAACGCGCTTCTGACACGCGGTCGGCCCACTGAGACACACACACACGCACGCACGCTCGGCAAGCTCACATCTGGCTCAGCTCTGGGTTCTCATTCTCATCACCATCATCTCTCCCGACTCGACTCGACTCAGCATTCGCATCTCTTCCGCTCTTTCTCGATCGCATCCTCGACTCGTAGTCACTCTGGAGCTGGCTCTTCAGTGGACTCGCATCCCATTCTCACAGCATTTCATCCAGTCCCGCGTCCAGTCCTCAGACTTCAAGCTATCTCATCCAACCCGGCGAGGTGTCAGCATCGCCCCATACCCACCTGACCGCATCTCTCAGCATATTCTTCGGCAATCACGATGCGACGCTCCCATCCAACCGCGTTCGTCGTCAAGAAGCGCGACAGTTGCGCCGTCTGCACCAATATCCCTCCCTGCCCATCCTGTCCCAAAGGCCAGCAGTGCCAACAGATCTTCCGCTCCTCCTGTCAGGACTGTCCCGTCAATCGCTGCATCCCCATCCCAGGCTATGACGCTGGTGGAGGCACCAACAAGTCGGCTCTCGGCGGCGGTGTTGCTGCGCTCCTCATTGTCGCGGCCGCCGCTGTTGCGTATTGGTTCTGGCGGAGGCTCAAAGCGAAACGCCGTCGCATCGCGTTGCACGAAGATGCGGTCGAGCGTCGGGAAAAGGTTCGAAACGAGAAGGAGGCCACCACGCTTCAACTCGGTGGCGCTAAGGCGGGAAGCGACAACACTTCGCCATTCGCCATTGTCGACGAGGACGAGCTAGACGGCGATACCGAGTATACCCAGGTCACCGGCGGTCTGAACGACGGGGATGCGCTAGGCTCGCTGGCCGAGCCCACCGCTTTCCGTCGCCGATCGTTCGGTGCCGCCACGCATCTATCGCGCATCACGGAGGGCGTCGAGGAAGACGAGGAGGAGGCCGTCGCCAACAAACGCAACACAATCGGCTCTCTTCGGTCTGGGACGATGAGCTTTGCCGGTACGGCACCGCGCATCAGCGTCGGATCGAGTGCCAGCCTCGGGTCCGCAAATATCATTCCTATCGCCTTCAGACCCCCGTCCCCTGCTTCTGCTGGTCAGAGCAGCAACGACGACGGCTACCAGTCGATCTCTCCACTCGCCCTGCCTACCACGGCACACCGCGCAACCGGCGCCCCCGCTATCCAAGTCAACACCGCCCGCAATGGTCCCATCCGCCCCACGCGCGCACCCGATCTCAACCTCCGTCTTCCCGAAGCCCCTCACAAGCCATCCACCTCCTCTCCCTTGGCCTCAGCGACACCCGCGTACGAGTTCATGTCGATCGACCCAGTCGAAGCGCTCAAGACGTCTGGCCCGTATTCCCGCCCGGACCGCCCCCTGTCCAGCGCCACGGTCAACACGATCAACAGCACCCATTCGGGAAGCTTGTCGTACGTGATGTCCGCTCCGCAGGTCATCACGCCGGTGAGCGGGGAAGGTGTGCGTCGCGTGCAGTTGGGCAACGGAGGCAAGGCGCAGTTGGTCAAGGTACCAAGCCTCAAACGCAAAGAGGTCAAGGAGGATCCGTTCAAAGACCCGGTCGAGCCCACCACTTCCGCCACCGCACCCGTCGGCACTGCTGAGGTTGGAGAAGATGAGGACCTCCTTCCGCCGTCCAAAACCCGCTTCGCCTCTGCAAACGGTCGAGACTCAACAATGTCCACCTCGACGCTGGGCATTCCGTTCGGCGAAAACCCATTCGGCCCCTTCGCCGGCGCCCCCACCGACCAGACCAGCCCGAGCGACGCCGAGGAGCGCAGCTCGTGGTTGGCCTCACGTGATGCACCGCAGGAGAGGGGGACGGATCCCTTCCAGGACCCCGAGAGGGCGAGTGTCGGAGGCGTCAGCTTGGGTCAGTTTCCGTTTGATCTAGGCGACAACAGGTAGATTCCTCCCGAAATGCATTGCTTCTTCACCGGGTCTGGGTAGCGTGTGCGCGTTTGTGAGCGCTCCTGTGTGAGGAGAAGCGCATCGCTCGGGAGGCGGGTGTGAATCGACCGGACGTGTCATGCGACCCGTTGCGCTTGCGTGCGTGTGGACCAGAGCCCTGTGTCAAGTGATCTCTCAACGTCGGCCCGCGTCGAGACAGCCCCGCGGGGTCTGGGATGCAGAAAGCCCACTGTGCGTGCGAGTACAGCAGCCGTCGTGCGAGCTGCTTGTCTATCAGGACTCGACCTCGATAAGTCTCGGTGGATGTGTCTGCCAGCTTGACAAGTTGGCCTCTTTCTGTGGACCGCCGTGCCGTCTTGCCGTTGAGAGCACAGGGCACTGTATCTTCTCGCACAACCTCGGTGACAACCTCATCAACCTCATTCGCGAGCGTCCGCACCAGATGCCGATCTCTCTTTCGACCAGACTCAGTCGTATCTCTTCAAGCGCGGCTTCGTCATCCCCATTCCATCCCCTCATCAGTCATTCACTCGCAAGTCATCGAACAACAATCGGAGCCCGAGACAAAAGCATTTCTATTCACCCTCATCATCTACTCCCGCACAGTCAACCGAATCTTGCTCCCCTCCTTGCTCGGCAGGACTACCATACTCTGATAGTCCGGATCGGGGAACTTGCTCTCCAGCTCCCACTTGAACTTCCTCACAAAGTGGGCGATGATGACTCCAATTTGCAAATACGCAAACTGCTCTCCGATGCAACGGTGACGTCCGGCGCCAAAGGGGAGGTAGGGACTGTTAGCTCCCGTACTGATCATGCCGAATCCGAAATCCTCCTGCTGATCCCCGGCGTCCTGCATGGCGGCGGAGGAAGGGTCGAGCCAACGATGCGGTTGGAACTGGTCGGATGAAGCCCACAACAGGGGATCGACTTGAGACACACCCGGTGCAGCCATGATGTAGTGTCCCTTAGGAATCACATACCCTGCATCATTCCGGGTGGACGAAGGCGCAGCGAGAGTGGCGGGAACTGCGAGGTCGGTTTTGACGTAGCGCATGATGGAATGCAGAGGCGGATGCAATCGCAACGTCTCCTTGACCACCGCATCGAGCAACGGTACCGAGGTCTTCTGCGTCTCGTAGTCCAATTCGCGCAGTTCGGATCCATACACCTTGACTTGCTCCGCATAGAGCTCTTCGATCACCTCCGGTCGAGAGGCCAATCGAAGGAAGGCCCAGGAGGAGGTGGCCGACGAAGTATGCTGACCCGCCATGAGGAGGGCGATCATCATGTGCGCGATCTCGACCGGGTTGAGCGCACGCCCGTTCTTGTACTTCTGCTGCATCAGGGCGGCGATCATGTCGTTCTCGCCCGTGCCGTCGTCGGATACGCCTGCGGCGCGGCGCTTGGCGACAATATCTTGGTAGAACTGCGACATCTTCTTCTGCGCGCGGTCGCGCTTGAAGTTGGACGGCAACGGCAGGTTGGGAATGACAAAGTTGATCGGGGTGAATCCGGAATCGAGATCGTGGTAGAGTTGGGCGAAGGATTTGTCGAGTCCTTCACGAACCTCTTTGCCCTGAAGAGTACGGGATGCGGTGAGGATGATGACCTCGGACATGGCTTGAAAGATGTCCACCGCCAACGTCTTCCCCCCCTTTTGGAGGGGAGCAAAACGAGGATCGCTCTTGAGGTACTCGTCGACCTCATCGACGATCTGCGGCACATACGCGCGGAAGTTCTCGATGCTGAGTCCGACCTTGACAAACTTCTTCTGCTCCATGAAGACGGCGTTGGGCACGTCGTACACCACCTCTTTTCCGAAGACGGGCGTGGTGAGATGCGTGTAGGCGTCTTCGGCGGTGACCTGCTGGTGTTTTGCGTTGAACACGAGGTTGCTGCCCTTAGGACCGAGCGCGACGGTGATGCGACGCCCGAGAAGGACAAAGGTGAAGACGTCGCCGTACTTGGCACGACATTCGAAGAAGAACTTGTACGGGTCGATGCCGTAGTAGATGGCGGAGCCGATGATGGGGACGAAGTGGAAGACGACGGGTGGGGAGGACTTGCGTGCGGGCAGGAGGAGCTGCGAGGCGACGTTGAGGATGACTGCCACGAAGGGAAGGACGATGGCGAGGGTGAGGGCCTTGATGGAGAGCGAGGAGTCGGCGAGCGGGGTGACGGCGAACAGCTGGTCGATCAGCGACGCCACCGCGGAGGAGGAGGTGGAGGCGACCATGTTGGATGGTGCCGTCCGATCTAGCGCTTGAAGGAGGAGGTGGTGGTGATGAGGAAAGGGATGGAGCTCATCGATAGAGATACACACACGCTCGCAACACGCCATGCACGACTCAAGAAGAAACGCACACCTTTCTCGACACGCTCGACACGCTCTGGAAATCAGTTGATTTTTGTGAGTGGGATCGTCGAGTTGCGTGTTGTGTTGTGGTGCTCGAATTCAGAAGAAATTCAGGTTTTTGTTTTTATTTTTGGCTCAAGATCAGCCAATCACGCTCGGTGCGTTGATGTGCCTGTCCCGAGCCGCCAAAAAATCGAATGATTTCCCATTTTTCACAGCCACGAATTCAATTCTTCGCGAACGAGCGAATCGGGTGACGCAGATCGGGTCGCCCTTCCTTATCATGTCTTCCTCCTCCCCAGGCACCTCGGTCGATCTCATCAGCGCTGCCGCTGCATCTCAGCGCGCAATCACAAAGTTGATGTTGGAATGAACATGGCTACCGTTGCGTTGCGTGAGAAGTGTTATGATACAAGTACAATAGAAGTGAAGCAAAGGAGGTATATGGAAAGAGTCTAACGAGGTGGAAGAGCGGACGATCACTTCTGGAGGTAGTACTCCGAGTTGCTCACCTGCTGCTCCGGCTGAGCGCCCTCGCCCTTGAACGAGCTCTTCTCGATATCGCTGGTCGAGTGGACCGATTCGTCGGCGCCACCTTGGAGGTGACCCTGGTCCATGCCCTCCCACATGTCGGCCTCCCACGACTCGGGTTCCAGGAACCGTCTGTGTTCGCGCACCGAGACGCCGCCGGGGACGGGGAACACCTCGCAGAGCGCCACATATACCATGCCGGAGACCAAGAAGCCAATGGGGTAGGCGAGGATGTACATCCTCTGTGCGGCAACGGAGACCTCGACCCCGAGCACTCCCGCGAAGCCAGCGACTGTCATGGCGATACCAGCAATGTAGGCCGCGAACGCTCGGAAGTTGATCCCGTTCCAGTAGTGGTACATGCTCGGCTGCTGCGAGGAGGTCGATGCAGCGCTGAACAGCGAAGGCATATCGAGCAGTCCGCGCTTGACAATGTAGTAGTCGGCCATCATGGTGCCGCTGATGCTCGAGAGGAAGAGCGAGTAGGCCGACAGGTAGGTGGCAAAGTTGTTGCTGTCCTTGAGCAGGTTCCATGGGCACATGGCAAATCCTACTGCCGCAGCGACCAACGAGCCTCGACGGATGTTGATGTAGCGAGGGCAAGCCGCAGCAAGATCGTGACCAGCAGAGAGCGAGTTGGCGGCGACATTGACACCAATCTGGCCGATGATGAAGGCGAACGCGATGAAAAACACACCAGCGCGCGCGCCCGAGTTGTAAGGGTCCACCTTGAGTCGCTGGCCGAGCAGGTCGACGGGGTTCCAGATCAGCTCGCCGTAGATCACCTGGCTCGAACTGGCAATGATGATGCCCAGGAAGCTCGTCAGCGAGAAGGTGAGGGGCACAGCCAGCAGCTGCGACCACTTGACCGACTGCTTGTTCTTAGCCATCCTCGAAAGATCGGGGATGTTGAGCACGAGCGTAGCCATGTTGGAGATACACGACATGAGAGAGGCCATGAACTGCCATCCCATCTTGCTGCCGGAGAGCTTGGCGGGCTGGTGGACAATGGGACCGAGACCCTTAGCATCGACGATGGACCAGGCGAAGAAGGCGATGGCGGCAATGGGCACGACGACGGCCTTGAAGTTGAAGAAGTAGCGGACCTTGCTCGGGTGGAGAATGACGAAGGGCAGGGAGATGAGCGAGAAGAGGAAGAAGCTGACAAAGTCCATGGTGGTGATGCCAGAGCTTGCAGGCAGGTGGTTGGGCATCCTTCGGTAGCTAGGGAACATGCTTTCCAGCACCAGCGTCGTGCATTGGCCACCGATGTACGCCTGCACACCGTACCAGACACAAGCCATGGCGCTTCGGTTGAGGATGGGCCAGATGGCACCCCAGACACCGAATGTGCTCCTCGCAAGGATCGGGAACGAGACGTGATAAACAGCACCGATTCTGGCAGTCATAACCACCAAAAACGCCACCGCAAAGTAGCCGACAATGATGGCGGCCCAGGCCTGAGACCAAGTAAGACCAGCAGACACGGCGGTGGACGCGATCATGAAGGTGTTAAGGTTGAGACCGTCCGAGATCCAGAAGGAGGCAAAGTTGACCCAGCCCCAAGTGCGACGCTCGGGAGACACGGGGAGAAGGTCGGCGTTGCGGAGCATGGCATTGCCGCGCGACTCGCCAGGGCGGCGCTCGGAGCCCTTGATGGCGGCGGCGTTGATAGCGCGCTTGATGAGAGTCATAGTGTGGGGGCGGAGGGGAGGAAGGTAGAGAAGGTGAGATGATGGAAGCGAGATGATTGGGAGGACTGGAAGCGCCGGATTATATGGAAAGATGGTCGAGGCGTATCATGCGTGTTCGACGCAGCCCCCGTGTGATGCAGATAGCTTGATGCAAGGAGAGACGACCGCGTGGCAATCGAGCTACCCGAGTGCCTTCCGATCCTTGCTGCAGAGGCAAGCAGTGGCGGGTCAGGTTGCGAGATAGCGGGCGATGAATGTGGTGCGGTACCAAGCTCGTATCACACGGCGGTCAGCTCGGAAAGAGCGGCAACTCGAGCGAGCACACTACCATCGAGCCAGCACTTCGAAGCGACGAACAAAAGGCGGGGAGGGGAGAGAGAGAGAGATAACCCGACGATGCCACTACTGCCTATCACAGCTCTCTGACAGGTTGAGAATTCGACTGCCAAGAAGCGCTTATCTCTGACCCAGCCAAACGGCACAAAATGAAATGAAATTCGCGGGAACTTGGCCGTGACAGGTCAAAGCGAGCGGAAAGGCGAATTTTTGATTGGACCGCTCCAGCTGTCAAATGACGGCCGAGTTTCCGGGTGGATGCGCGAGCGGGATGATGATGCTGATAGGCTGAGCTTCCTTACCCACATGATCTCCGCCATCGTACATGGTGATGCATGCTGGTTGAGATCTTTCACGCAGTCATCAAGCCAAGATTGGCTCGAGCTTGCCTGTCGAAGGGTCAAGTTTGCGGCCGAGTTCGAGTGGGCCGATGTGACCGAGGCGCAGAT